CAGTGAAACCTACTCAATAACATAACTTATATAGCAGTGGTGAAACAGGTCGATCATGCCATGAAAATTTTAATATTCAAACTTTAGAAATGTTTTGTCTTTAACATATTTAAATGCAGGTTTATTAGCATAGCATGACCAGTTGCCATGGCTGTAGCTTTGTCATTGTTATATATAGATTAAAATAAGGTCTAAAGTGAGGATTTTTAAATTTCAAAGTGCTTGCACTCAGCAATATGAACAATTTACTGTCATCACGCTGAAGGACACTTGTGGATAACAGCTGGTCCTAGTTCGCCATATTGCTCTTTTGTAATCCACATTTCTTTAAACGTCGACAAACTCGCAAGAATTGAACCACCGATCCAAACGCTGTTCTTTCTATGTTCTGGCGCAATTACTTTGACTTCCATTGCAGCTGGGACAAGCCCTTGGATCTCTTTTGTCAATCGTTCTGGAAGCCCAGGGAACATTGTACAGCCTCCAGATAGTACTATGTTTTTATACAACAATGGATGCATTTCAAAATCACATTTTGAGATAGTATCAAAGCACATTTTGTGAATCCCTTCTTCGATATCATATTCATTAAGGTTTCCTAGCAGAGAAGGTTTGAATAACACTTCTGGACATCGGAACTTCTCGTCACGAGGGGTGATAATTTCCCCGTCCGGCAATTCATATGATTCATCCTCAACTTTAGCTTTCTTTGAGGGTGATTGCATTTCTTCCTCAAAATCCAAAGCCACATAACATAACTTTTCAAGCATATTTTGAGCATGATCCAAAAAGTCACAATAATTGCTCATGTTATAACCGCCTTCTGTTAGTATTTTTGCGAGATTTAGTCTGAGGTCATGGCCACCAAGTTTGAGACAGGTAGAAGCGCCAGGTATAGCAAAACCTTTGTCAACTGGTGTGACCTGGGTGGCACCTGCACCAATACTTAACGCTGTGCCTGCCTGACGTCCTGCAGCATACAATGATAGCACGGTTTGAATGCCAATGAACATTGCTGGAGTGTTAAACTTTTCCATCATTACCTTAATAAACACACCACAAGTGTGAGAAATTTACATCCAACTTTTTACATCCAATGTTATAGCTTTCCATAGCGACATGAAAAACACCTATCTGTAGCTTTTACGAATGCTATTTTCAGAGTTATTATTGCCACAGAGAGATGTTGTTCTGCTCCGCTTCTGAAAGTTGTACATTCCTTATTGGATAGGTGCTTTTTCGCGCCGCTAATGGAAAGGTCAGCCAAGATTTTGATATAGAATTACCTCGGCCATTTTTTCTCTGGTAGCTCTGGGGTTATTTACTGCTTCGGTTAGAAACACAGGATGTTCTTCGGATGGCACTGCAAGTTGCTCAAATGCATGTTGCCAAATCTATAATAGATAATATTGACCAATTAAGAAAATGTTGACATGAGACTATTGAATACAGAATGGATTTTGTATGGCTACAATCCTGGCAAAAATTATGTGGACACCTAACTTTCCTAACGCCAACATTAACACTGAGACGTTCATTCGTGAAATTTGTCACCCCCTGCCCCCTATTCAATGTTGATTCTCGCATTCAAATTTTAAAAGTTTCATTTACCAACATTGAGTTGGGGGTAGGAGGGGGAGAAATTTTCTGGCGGATAAATTATGCAGAAATATATCTATTTTTGTTTGACGCACGCGCTGTCCACGATAATTTTTGCCAGGATTGTCTGAAATTATCACATATTTCCAACTGCCTGATTTCATGAATTTAAGGCTCGATCCAAGATAAAATAGGCTTGTTTGTTTAGCAAAAGGAGCAAACAATTAGTAAATCAGGTTATATTTAGTTTTTTACTTTCCGATCTATGTTAAGTGTCACCTATCACATTACATGTCAAGTGGCCTTTTACGTATTATCGGGATTTATACAATTACAACTTAGTCTGCAACTCTAAAAAAAAATATATTCGTTTTACAAATTATTGAACATTGTGGAGAACGACGATGTCTTACAGTACTTAGTCAGACAGTGGAAAATGTTCAGCCAAAAAATGCGAGGTTTGTTTACCTCATAACTTAGAGCCAAACAGATCTATCTTGACTTTAGTTCCTGAGCGTGAATCATTTGCATTATTGGTAATATACATGCATTTCATAATGCAGATCCTTTGTTAGCCTGCAACATTTTGCAATGGGTTTGCAGCATGGAGCATCATATTCCCGTGTATTCATACAATATAACTGTATAAAACTGTACAAATGTGTAAGTAATGTTATTTTGAAAGTGTAGTAAATTGATACAGTACACGGCTATGTAGCGTAACCAAATTCACACTAAATATAATAGACTATAGGGTTATTTTAGTGTATACGCATCCGAAGCGCTCACTATTTTAAGATTTTTTGTACCAAGCGCAACCCAACAGCGACTGTAGAGCGCCTTTAATCAAACAGTGATGTCACACGGTACACGGCTGTGTATCGTATAGTAAAGAATACACAGCTTAAATATTTTAATCACCACACTACACAGCCGTGTACCGTGTGACGTCACTGGTAGATTAAACGCGCTGTACAGTCGCCGTTGGGCTGCGTTTGTTATAAAAAATCTGAAAATAGTGAGCGCTTCGGATGCGTATACACAACAAATATATTTAGTGAGAATTTGGTTCCGCACTTAAAGTACTTTTGTTGAAAACTCGTCTTACTGCGTCTGCATAATTAGTTCAGCAAAGCGTATATCACGATCATGCCCAAAAGCCGCTCACCCACAAAATTATAAATATGCTTTAAAAAACAATTAAACCAGTTTAAACAATCTGTTTGTTATCCTAAAACAATGGCAGCATCAAAAATTTATAGTAAAAGGCCTGTTTTGGGTGAAAATTATGGATATTTTTTTTAGGTCATTTTCAGACAATCCTGGCAAAAATTATGTGGACACCTAACTTTCCTAACGCCAACATTAACACTGAGACGTTCATTCGTGAAATTTGTCACCCCCTGCCCCCTATTCATTGTTGATTCTCGCATTCAAATTTTAAAAGTTTCATTTACCAACATTGATTCTCGCATTCAAATTTTAAAAGTTTCATTTACCAACATTGAGTTGGGGGTAGGAGGGGGAGAAATTTTCTGGCGGATAAATTATGCAGAAATATATCTATTTTTGTTTGACGCACGCGCTGTCCACGATAATTTTTGCCAGGATTGTAGCTTTGCATTTAAATTTGTCTGGAACTTGAGATCAGAATTCATCTGTGCTGTTTGAACGCCTTTTATTAACCTTTGAACATGACCAGATCTGGTTTTGCCTGTAATTTTGGCACAACCATTGAAATGCTGTCGCCATGGTCCTAGCCAATGCACTTACGAGAGGCATTCACCTCCCTGAGAATATTGAAAATGGCAGATGTTCGGGGGTGAATAACCACACTGGCTGGACCATGGTGACAGTATTTTGACGATGAATCATGACGTGGCAGCAAATTATGACGTGACAGCGGTTATGCTCTTTTGGCTTAATCAAACTTCTGTGTGTGTCTATCCTGTGATCAGATATTTTATATTAATGATATATTTTCAGGGTGGATAGGTAATATTCCTAACAAAATTTGAAGCACAGGGGAGAGGGGAACACCCTACCTTTTCAATTTCTTCCCACTTATCAATAACCGCATGTTCTACAGGATATTTTATACAAAGTATACCCCTCTTTACATTTACTTCGTTACCGACATAATACTCCTTTAAACCAGTTTTTGTTACGACAGATGGGTCCAAATTAGGAACACTGCCATCGGTGAAGTAGTGCCTCAGTCGACCAACTTTTGTTAAAAATTCCGTTTTTGGCGCGTCGTCGCCGGCGAATCCTGCTCCAGTCATATAGGAACCATTGTCTATGACTACTGCGGGTTTCTCAGTCATTTTTATAGAGCAGAGTTGTATTTTTATGAGGTTTTCAGCAAAAGAAAAGATTTATTATCAGGTGTGTTGCAATATCTTTGTTTTGGTTTTTATGATTTCATTCCTGTGGTGCTTCCATTTTGTTGCAAATCTGATCAGTTTTCAGTTAGCACAAATACTGAAAATACTTGGAAAAAAACCTCGAGAAAAAAGCATTGTAAGTCGTAAACAATATCATAAATATGACATACATAATGTACAAGAAGAAAATCTTTTCACGCAGTTAAATCTTAAAAAAACCCAGTTGAAAATCAATGTTTACAGACCTCTCAACTTTGCAGAGAAGTTAAGAGTGAGATTGGGGATGTGGATGGTACCTTTGTAAAAGTCCGGGTGGCCTGAAGGGGGTCCCAATCCCATTTCCCACCTGAAATGTTGGCAAAATCCCAGTCCCAGTTGGATTTTTATTAGAAATCCCAGTCCGAGTTATTGAAATCCCAGTCAATAAAAAACCCTTTATTTATCGCTAGAATAAACAGTTAAGACCTTTTAAGCCACAGTGTGTGCAAGTAGTGGACCATTTATGAAATATTGGGGGGGGGTTCGTGTCGAAGGCACGGAAAATTTTTAAATTTGAATCCTGGAAATGGCAGCATTCTGAGACACGCATAATCAGAAAACCCAGAATTCCGGGTGCCAGAGTATGCCTGTTCGCAGGTAGTGCTGTGAATAATATGGTTAACAACAAAAATCATGACCAAAGACCAGTGGCGTAACGGAGGAAGGGGGCCCCTTAGGCATATTCTGTGTGGGGGCCCCTGTTGTCATTGTTTAACTGAGATATTATATTTATATTGAATATTTATGGAATGTTCTGGAAAATTCCGTGTCTATAACAATAACAATAACAGTCTCCAACATATGTAACAACTTTTATGAATAACTTTTGTTTAATTTGAGATGGAATAAAAAAATCAGCTACCGTCGTCAATGGAGGCTTTATTATGTAGCACCATTAATTTCGCATTTTCCGATTGATTCTTCACCTGCATTTTTTACGTTTTCCAATTTTCTGGGCGATAAACTGTGGCTGATGGGGGCCCCTAACTGTTGGGGGCCCTTAGTTTTTGAACTTACCCTAACCAATGAGCGCTACGCCACTGCCAAAGTACTTAAAATACACCATTTTAAAATACTTAAAACGTAGAAAAATTGGGAATCGACTCGCATTACCTCAATCCCATTCCCATTTTTGAGGACTTCATTTCCCATTCCCAGTGGCCCAGTCCCAGCAACCCAAATCCCATTTTCCCAGTCTAAAAATAGATCAATCCCAGTTCCCATTTTACCCCTTCTGCATGGGCCCTCTCTGAAATGGCATTTCGTACATTCTGAGAGTTGGTGGTTTTAATGAAATACGTCATTGCTTCATAACGTCCTTTAAGACAATTAAGGCACTTTAGTTACAATAACTGTATTTCTTTGACATGCAGTAATGAGCTTTAATTTGCCTTTGATAATTTACAAATAGAATTCTGCTCCGACTGATTCTGCCTTTTGTGTGCCGTATTTACATATGCGTACTATTTTGTATCCAAACTGCGGGCAAAAGCCAAAATGTCGGGCCGTATATGCAGGAACAATAACACGCGATTTATATTCGATTCGCGATCCGTATAATGATTAATAATGTGCATTTAAGAATACAATATTATATTTATTTATTGAAAAAAATACTATAAAACTGCTATATGCGTGAGATTTACTAAACGTGGCGTGAGAGCGTGAGAGTGAAGTGAATTGCGTGAGACTCACGCCGAGTAAATGCATTTTCAAATTGCAAGGAAATTTGAGTTTTGAGAAATTCTTCTTCGGATAAGTGGACACACTGCCGAGACTTCGCGGGAGATTTAAAAGCCCAAAATTACCATGTGCGAAACTGAAATGTTCGCTGAATTTTTGTCCTTTAAAGTCTTTAAAATGCCTCGAAAGGGTTGTGGATACTATGTGTTGTGTATTAGGAAAGTTCATGGACGTTTTTTGCAAGAAATAAAGTGTTAAATGGCGAGAAATTTCTACCTGGCAACACATGGTCTGATAGTGGACAAGATCACAAGACTGTCAAGGCTTCCAAAGAACTTACACTAAAACTTGTAAAGAAATGGGTAAGTAATAAGCTTTTTAAAATTTTTATGTTTACATTACGAGGTTGTATCTGGCTGCCATAGTCCAGTGTCTTAACAAGAGGTATTCACCCCCTCCCAATGTCCAGAACACCCTTGCCATTTTGAATGTTTCAGGGGGGGTTCAACCACACCAAAGTGCACTGGCTAGTAACATGATGACCTGTCACGCCATATGGTTATGACAAGGAGTCAGATCTCTGTATAGTCTGTGTCTGGATCATGCCAGAGATCATGCTGTGGGCTAAATCTTGCTTTGACCTAATGTATCGATCAATTCGAAACTTCACCATCCCCCCCCCCGGGCATACCCCGGGAATTTGACTTCAAGTCTTCTCCAGGGAGTAGGGAATTTGACGTTTTTGGTCTTCCATGTGGTGGGGCATTTGATAACGGGGTGGGGAATTTGAACCGGAAGTCTTAAAATTTTGCCCGTTTTCGCGTGCTTCCTGCATGCACAGAAAATACTTCGCATTGGTGGCAAATACAGTTTTCTCAGATTTCGAGGGAAACAGCCTCAATTTTGTGAAAAACTGGCTCAAAGAAACGGGCATGGAAAATCTATGTGTTTCATTTGAAGGTATGTACTACATAATTGTGTAAAACTGTTAAATTTCCACAAGGTATCCAAACTTTTTACGTGAATTTCGCTATCTTGTCGAAAAACATTTCCGTATATTTTGTACTTTTTGCATTTACTGTTTCATAATTTTCATATGAAGGTGGGGCATTTGAACGCTTAATTTCTTGTTACAGTGGGGCATTTGAAGACTTTTTTGCACAGAGGGTGGAGAATTTGATCAGTCAAATTTCAAAAAGTTCAAATTCCCGGGGTCGGCTCGGGGGGGGGGACGGTGAAGTTTCGAATTGATTGATACATAACCTAGGGCTGGTTTAAATCGAGTCTTGCACCAATGTAAACAGTGTCAACCTATCACAATTGGAAATTTGGCGTTTCAAAGTTTCTGAATTTGATAGAATGTATCCCGGTAAACAGACAGTATATTTTAGGACATATACCAGTACTAAATATAACACAAAACATAATCCGAAGATTAGCGTCTCGAAACCCAAAATATGAGTCAAACAAGAAAGTGAGTGAGTAATAGATCGATTTTATTACAAAATCAACATCAGACTAACTATAGTTACAATATATACATGGTCGTATATACAAGTTGGCAAGGTATGATGACATGCAGTATAACAGTACTATTGTAAATCACAGTGGCGGAAATCTCGGTTGGGGGTGTGTGGAAATTGTGACCTAAAAGAGGGCTAAAAACAGTCTTTTCGAGTGCAAATGGGGAGTATGTCGGAAATTTGAAAGTTTTGTTGGAAATTTAGGAGGTTTTGCCCCCCCCCCCACCGGAAAAAGTGAATTTCTGCCACTGCTAAATCATTAAACAATGGTTAATTATAAATACACTTCTACTTTCGTTTACTTTATATACATTTTTTGTGAATATACGAAGGCCCATTTTCTTCATAGTCCTGTCTTGTCAACCACATTTCTTGGAAAGCTGACAATGATGCTACAATGGATCCTCCAATCCACACATTATTCTGTCTGCTTTCTACAACCAATACATTAGGATGGAGATGCGATGGTGTTAGCATGTTAATCTCTCGGGAAAATCTGTCTGGTAGGCCTGGAAACATGCTGGAGCCACCTGACAGCACAATGTTACTGAATAAGTCTTTTGTGACCTCATCTGGTTGATTTGATTGCATAATGTTATCACAGCATATTTTGTGAACCCCATCAAAATTTCGACCTAGGACATCAGGTTGGAATAACGCCTCTGGGCAGCGGAATTGTTCGCTGCCAATTGTAATGGTACGGTTATCTGGTAGTGTATAAGTCCGTCTTAGTCCAGATTTGCTTGCCATTTTGAGTTCTTTGTCAAAATTTCTTGCCACATAGCAAAACCTTTCTTTGATCATGCATGCATCTTGAACGCAGTGCTTGGCTGCGAATGTGACGCCATTCTCCGCTAAGAGTTTGAGAAGATAGTAGTTCAAGTCTTGTCCACCTAGGGGTAGGCAGCTGCTGGCGTTAGGAATGGAGTATCCGTCTATGATTGGTGCAATCTGTGTCACGTCAGCCCCACAATCCACTGCAACGCCAGTGACGAGACCATACGAATGTAGTGATAGTATTCCTTGGATAGATATGTACATTCCTGGACATTGGAAGCTCTCAAACATGATCTGGAAAAAATGCAAAATATGGCTTGAGTTTTTATCGTAACAATCTCAATTTCTTGCATTTTACTTATCTTAATTCTTACAAACCTGACTGTATTGTCATCTTAGCCTTAATCAAACCTAATCCTAACCCTATTTTGAATCCAATGAATTAATTAACTCACTTGAAGCTGAATTGCACCCTGATCATTATTTTACTCTAAAGGTCCAGACACACCGGATGCGATTCGACAACGCGACGCGATTTTTCGATTTCACTGACCGATAACTTTGATTCTAGTTTAAATTTTCCAAATATTTAGAAGCGTTATAACATTTTGAGTTATTTGGTCTACATATCTTTTAAAATTTGCTCTCATTGTCCTCATTGGCTGTTTTATTAACTTTCAAAAACTAAAAAATTGCGTCGCGTTGTCGAATCGCGTCCGGTGTGTCTAGACCTTAAGTCGCCAGACGATTTTACTTGTCAAGGGGAGAATGGGTTAAATGAGGTTACATAGTAACCAAGGTTAATATCATAGGAGCCGCGCGCAGTCTGGGTACGACATGTGCCCTCAGGATATCGGATACAGAGAGTGCCAAGCAGACTCTCAGGTCATTAGCTAATTCGTAGCCAACTGCAATGGTTATCTGCTCAGAGAAGAAGCAATTTTTTTTTTTCATGACTACAATTGATTTTCAATTTAATTTCCATCGAACTAAGTTCGGTGTGATAAGGTGCAGACGTTCGGTGGTCAGGTCCTGAATGGACAGGTCCACGTGATTCGGACCTGAATCCAAGTAACTCAAATCCGGAGATCATTAGCTGACCACGTCTGCACCTAACCATCCACACGGGTAAGTATGGTGACGACAGATATTAATATGATTTTACTCTCATTTATATTTTTATATAGTAATTTTATTTATTATTCAATATAACGCTTCAATGCTTCAGTGCCCAGCAAATAGCGCGCTTTTGACACAAGGGAATTAGGAAGTCAATTAGCATAACTTGCGTAGCAGTTGTCACGTGCGTGAACGCGCATATTTTTGCGCAGAAGGCGAATCAGGAAACATTACACAGCATTCTCGTAAGGTGTAAGTTGTCCGCCCTTCGGAAACTCTGGAATGTACACTCATCATTCATTATAGGAAAAGATTTCTATTTGCCAAGAAACTGATCGCACTGACCTCAGCCATTCTCTCCCTGTTGCCTTTGAGATTGTTAGGAATGTCTGTTAACAGAATAGCTTGTTCTTTTGGCGATGCGTCCAGTTTGTCAAACGTATACTGCCATAACTGAAAAATTTAAAATAATTTTGATATTTAACTCAACGTGCACTTGCATTGTTTGCTACGATTTTTTCTTCTTCTGAAGGATGTGAACGAGTGCTCGAACGAGTGGATGAGTTATAAAATATGAATGTTGAGATGAGGGAACACACTTACTCAGAACATTCAGAACTTGAAAATATGCCTGACCACGGTTGGAATCGAACCCACGACCCTTGGAATACTAGCCCAATGCTCTGCCAACTGAGCTACGCAGTCAGGTCGGTTCAAGTATGTCAGTGATATTTCGGAACTGAGTCTAGTTCCTTCGATAACAATGCAATCTAGTAATCATGATTTTTTCTGTATTGATGTTGCATACTCAGGTGAATATGATGTTTGTGATGTTACTCTGAGTGTATCTGTGTATATCCACACCGGGCAAGCTTGAAAAGTATGCCAGGGTCAGGCATATTTTTCAAGCTTGCCCGGTGTGGATGTACACTCAGAGTAACATCACAAGCATCATATTCACCTGAGTACATAACTGGTACCAACACAGAAAAAAAATCATTCATAACTCATCTACTCGTTCACATGCATCAGAAGAAGAAAATCGCACTAGAAAAGAACCTTCAGTTGTCATGATGAACAACACATTCCGATCACTAAATCGTGATTGGGCGTGCGGACACGTGATATGCAAAGGACCATAGTCTAGCCTGATTACGTCATGATGACGTCACTATTGAGATGTTTGTGAAAAAGGAGCAGCAATCTTGTAAATAACAAAACAATTCCAGGAATGATAAATCGACACTTTAATAAGATTAAAATGAAGGTGTGAGTTTAAATCACTGCGGTATTTCAATAATGACCCCTTGAATGACACTCCGCGTGACCATCCAGTCACGGTACAGCGATCAGAAAGTTCCTTTTCATTGTTTTGAAAATCCCACTGTTCCCCGTGTCATTCAGTCACCTATTGACGTTTTATCATTTACGCCTTTTGCATTTATGCCTATTTCTCTTGTTGTCTGAAGTATCTTTCTTTAATAAGCATTTATCTGCAATAAAGGAACATTAGTGCACGCCCTAACTTTATCTCCATCCCTGAAAAAAAGCGACATGCATTTATTCAAACTATGAATAAGGTTGATATTTTTTTCAAACCTTTTGCATATCATCCCAATGTTTAATAACTCCATTTTCCACCGGATGGCTGAGCGCGAGGATATCACGGTTTATCTGGGCCTCGTTTCCAATATAACGGTCTTTAAGATTTGGATTGAACGTGATGTGTTTCAAGAATTTTGTCCTCGGACGTCCAATCAACGACGGAATGATAACTTGAGGTTCATTCTTACAAGAAAATCCTGCTTTTAATGTATCCGATCCGTTGTCAAGGATCAAAGCATGTTCGTCACTAGCCATGAATACAAACTATATAGACCGTCTTGTATTTGTTGATTTTAACCTTTTCTCTTATATACGACACTATATCCTCTGTTCTTGAATGAAAATTCTCTTCTTTCAGGTATTTCTTGAAGATAATGTTTCAAAGTTCTCAAATGATAGCAGTCAAAAGGTTTTCATTGATGGATTGATAACCTTTTATTGTGATTATCGACTGTAAAACTACTATATTTAACTTCTTAACGACTGTGTCTTTGTTCTCTTAACACTCGACTCTGTCTATGGAATAGCTCTTAAGCTTGCTTCTGCGTTAGCATACAAACCCAAGGGAATTTCATAAATTCAATTGATAGCCATAAATGATTCATCGATCCATAACTTGGCAATGGCATAACTTGGCAATAGCTCTTCTCAGTCTGTACTATAGAACTAAGTCCACTCTGAAACGTCAAGACCACTGCCTGGCTGTTTCTTGTGTATATTAGCAGATTGCCTCAAAGGCATACGTGTAGGTCTCAACTCTCTTCTGTGAAATCAACTTTTGAAGTGAAATGATTGACAATATAAGGTTAAATGCAATGTAAACTCCAATGTCAGAATGTTTTCCACCGCTCAATATACGAACACTTTAGTTTAAATGGCAATCATATGTATTTCGTCGCCTTATAAAGATGAGCGACAAACGTTTGATGCTTAATGTGCAATTAACGCAATATCTCCCTAAGTGTGTTTTTATTAAGTAATGGTTTTATTTGAATATTTGTTTCATTTAATTCTATGTCTTTATGCACATGAAATATATATTACATAATTTGTAGATAAATAAATAATAGCAATTGACTGGAAACTCTAGCGGTTCACTATTTACAAAGCCTGTGAAGATCAGGATATTGTTTCCACTTATATTGCTGGAGTTTTTTTTGAGATTCGTATTATTTTTAATGGTCAAGATATTTAAGACATTTAATGATTAAGATGAGAGTATTGCCCGCTATCGTGAGCTTGTGGGAATGTCAGCGGCATGCACCGAAGGCTCGTGTCTGGTGTAACGGGTACTTTTGCAACCTCGTACCCAGGCTCTTACCTTCGCACGCCCTCCCGCTAAGACCCTGGGTACGAGGTTGGTACTTTTGCACATCTTTTGTCTCGTACCCAAATTTCATATATTTACTGTAAAGCGTTCAATGTATAAGCCCGCGGATCTTATTGTCAGATATTATTGTCATTGTGATATGGCAAATATTATTGCCAAATAATTAATGCGTGGTGTTTTTCCAAAACAAAAGCATTAAAATTGTAAAGCATCCCCAATTATTATTTTTCTCTTTGAATATCATGGCCCGCATGAAAATTAGGCACATCTAAAAACTCAATGTCCGATGGATTACCCATTGAGCGCCAGCGCTCTCCCCTTGGCCTTGACGAGTAAAATCGTCTGGCGTTAGACAGTAAAATAATAATGTAAGGAGCATTTGCGCGCAGTGCAAGTTATGCAACTCAATGCAAATTAAGACTGACGTTGCGCGATATCGGTGCTGCAGTGTTGCCGGCTTTTTCCAGCCGAGTGATATTTTGCTTGTCTGGTGCAGAAATTACAACATCTGACGATCACAAGTGCACACCTTAAAATAAATCAAGTTTCCTAGACGCGCATATGTTTAACTGTAGTAGTCCTAACCAAACTGGGAAACCACAAGCCGGCATTCAGTACAATACATGATAAACTTCTAACCAAAAACAATTAAACCACAGATGTCAATATCATTTCTACCTTTATTTATTTATTATGTAAAATGTACAAAAACCAATAAGATTATTATTACTATACTTTACAACTCTACGTTGTTCTGCAAATATTATAATTTAAAATAAATTACGTATTGTATACTTTAAACAAGACCGACTATGTTCATAGTTCATTTAGTTAAATACACGGGGCAACTCGTAATTAGGTTTTCACCTTAGAGGTGTGTACCCCTTAATTGTGTCGACGGATACATTGACAGTACATGGTCGACCTGGTAGGAGGGTGAATATCCCCGATTCATATTTACGACTCCAGCATATCAGGAGGTGGGGGTGGTAGACTGTCAATCATCTCTTGCCATTGTGACTCACTCTGCGTGTTGTCATCAACCGACGATTTTTCTGAGTGATGTAACCTGGGCGGTGGGTACATGGGAGGCGGAGGTAATACCCCCAGAGAATCTGTATCAATGATCGGAGTTGAAGAGGGAGGTGGGGGAACGATTTCTGGAAACGTGTTCTCACGATGATTTCCGATCTGTTTCCGACCATTTCCGATCTGATTACGAAGTTTCCCCGATCTCTCGTTTTCGAATCCCTCATCGGAATATATGAAGTATTCACGAAGTTTTCCGACTTCTTTCGGAGTAACAAACATAGAGTGACGATTATTATTATTATTGTCCTCTCGAGGTATCCCAATGCTCGATGGCGTCGCGAATATTGGTTCGCTAGTCAAGTCTGATTCACTTTGACTTCGTTTCATTTGAAATGCAAAGTTTTTGCCTTTCGGCGAGCTTTCAGGGTCTCTTAACGCCATTTTCTTTGGAGATCTCACTTTGTTCTTATTTCTGAGAACTGGTGGGCTGGGTTTGTTCTTGTTCTTCTTTCTAAGAATTGGAGAGCCGCCAGGAGGGGGTGGGGGAGGTTTAAAATTGGGAGGTTTGAGATCAAACGTGGTGGGGGTTGTGTCTATCAATAAACCTGGTATGTCGTACTCAGATTTTGATCTTCTTTGAGTTTGTTGGAATAACAAAGTTTGTGCATACGGTCCCTCGCTCTCCCCGGCACTATCACTGTCAGAGTTTCTTCGGGGGGAGTCTAGCATTGGTTGCGAGTATAAATCATCGGGGGTTAGCACTATAGGGTTATGTTTCGTAGGACTGTTCATTTCCGGGGTGCTTTTTCCCGGTTCCGTATCATCGCTTGGTATACGTCCCTTTATCGGTAACGAATAAAGGTCTCCATTATCCCCAACTGTATAAGATGCCGCTCCGTTAACAAGGCTTTGTACTTCCTTTATCCCGAGTTCAGGTGAGATTTGAACCACATTTGAGAGATGTGATTTCGTTGGGGAACTGGAGGGTTTAGGACTAGTGCAGGGAGGGGAATAGGTGGGATTGACATAGGACTTTGTAGTACATATAGGGACATTCACCTCTGCTGTATCCTTGTATGTATCCACGTTTGTACTATTATTGTACCCTAATGTAGCGAAGTTCACCGTACTGTACAAAGGATCTTCGTCGTCTTGTCCATTATCATCCCCATTTTGGCAACCCAACGGCCAGCACATATTTTGTAGTACCCGTTTTTTATTCATCATTAAATTCGTCCCCCTTTCTTTGAGGTTATGCAAAATTTCCCTGGGCGTTGAACTCATCTCTTCTCTCCTAGGCTCAGGAGAGCTGTCCATTTTTGAATAGCCGTCTGTTTCTTCAAAATGTATCGCATTTTGGCGGGGTAAACTATTCATTTTCTCGCCTTTTGTAGAAGCGGAGTTCTCCTCAACGCTCTTAGAATTTTGAACAGTTTTTCCTGATTTAGTGTTTTGTGTTAGCTGTAATTCATTGAAGTCCACACTTTTTGCATGTTGAAGAGGCTTTTTTGGAATTGGCGGTGGTTTCACTTCCTGTTTTGTAAATACGTTTCCGTCTGTGCTGTCACTGTCGCTGCTATTAGATTTACCGACTTTCTTTTTCTTGTTATTTTGCAGTTTTATTTGTGAAATCTCATTGGCTATCTCATGCATAGCCTTGGAGTTGATTGGTTGAGATGCTGGCGACGCTGGACTCCTATTGGCTGATGAGGAAGATAATCCATTCTTATTGGCTGGTGATGGTAATTCTCCATTCCTATTGGTTGGAGGTAATTTCGGCTTAGGTCTGGGTTTAGGCTTTGGCAAAACAGGCGGCGGGGATCTTTTCTGGTCAAGTCGCTCTTGACTTTTAAACAATTGATTCTTCCGCATCTCATGCGATAACGCGAGACCAGGCGAGGTAGGTACTTCACTTTCAGAGCTGCTTGAACGACGTGCATACTTCTGTCGTTTTGTCAAGATATTTTCCTGTTGTTTCGATAGTTCAGATGTGGTTTCATGACTCTCCTCCTGTTCCTCCCCGGATGTCGAAGACTGAGATTTCGCTTCCTTTTTCTTTTTCAAACGATTCTATATGATAGAAAATACATGTGTAGTGAGTAACTATAAAACTGATTACAGACGAGCTAGTTTTCTATGACAAGTTTCATACGACAAGTTTTTTCATCAATTGTGTGTGTAGTGTTTAAGACTCAATAAAACGAGATAAAACGCGTGCTATAGTGTTTCAGTGAACTATATATTGAATACTGATTAGTTATTCCCATTTGGATTAGTTATTAGCATATTAATTAGCTATATTACATCCCTCCCCACATTAGTATAGGTTCTCTGTTCTTCACGTTATATGTTATTCAAAATGTCTGTTTAAGACTCAATAAAGCGAGATAAACGCGTGCTATAGTGTTTGTGAACTATATATTGAATACTGATTAGTTATTCCCATTTGGATTAGTTATTAGCATATTAATTAGCTATATTACAGTGTGTATGTACAACAAATTTTCTGTGACAAGTTTTTGGTTTTCTGATCGTCACCGATAATGGTTTCGAGTGCAATTTGAAGAAAAACATCAGTGCACGAGTGAGTTTTTCAAAGACCATCAAAATTATTTGAAGTCTTTGAAAAACTCACGAGTGTATGTTTTTCAAATTGCACGAGAAACCATACTATTACTTAACAAATATAAAACATTTTCCGTATTGTTATACAGTTATATCAACACGAGTGGAAATTGGGAAAACGAGAAATTGTGTGGAAATACGACCCCGAAGGACGGAGTGTTTTCACACAATTTCGAGTTTTCCCAATTTCCACGGGTGTTGATATAACTGTACACATATCAATACGGAAAAAATGTTTTATATTTGTTTTATAATATAGCGCAAAGAAATATAAAGAAAGAAATCTTCCGCCGTTTCCGTGTTGACATTGAGTTATATCAACACGGCTCTTAGCAAATCAGCGTTCAGAATTTACAAATGCTATATTATATTCAAATAATAACGTGGAAAAATTATGCTATCACATGCGTAAGTCACATTTAGAAATTAAGAAAAATAAAAAATAAGAAAATTTAAAAAGTTAAGAAATTGGCACTGCATTTTGAAAAAATTACACTGCTCTCAGCCAATCGGAACTGAGAATTTTTTTCCATGTGTATTATAGCTATTACAACAATAGATCGTTTTGGCAACCGTATACAAATGCTCAGATTACTTTGCCAAACTTTCCGTTTGTCGACACGTACAGACGAACAAAATTTGTAGGTTGTCCACCTAACCCAGTCTGGTTAATCCAACCAGAAAGTCCTGGTCAACTTAACTATAGGCAATAGGTTAACCAAATAAGGTTATTTCTGGGTTAACGAGGAAAACGTAACAACAGTGTTTCGCGTGTAGGAGACCACAGCTCTACCCATTAAGGTATCGAGTCAACGGGGGGATTGGTAACGAGTCACGTCCAATTCAATTGCGGAAAAATTTTCACGCAAAAGCACGCCCAGTTATGCCGCGGCTCACGTATAATTTAAAGTCAAGATCATCATTGAACATAATATGTATTTTTCTTTGAAATAGGCATTTTGCCATTTAAGCTAACAGCGTAAGTCAGCTCAGTCATCTATAATATGCGTGTATTCTGTGTGTAAGAGTCACAATTACTGAATTATTAAAGATCTCCTTGAATAGCATCAGACAAAGAAATATTTTGTGTTATAAGACAACAAGGAAACAGTGCCATTTGTGTTAAAACTGTAATTTTAAATCATTCTTAGAAATAATGAGGAGGGCAAATATATAGATCCAAGAAAGTCTGAAGTTTGCTATTCTCCTCAAACATAAGCTTAAACTCCCGTTCTTGGAACGTTTCTCGGCTCACTGAGCATTAGAGCCACTAATTGCGGATAATACACTTGTGCACTTGCCACAGAAATATTTGCCAAAGTACAAATTTTGCTCATCTGCATGGGTCAACAAAGAAAATTTGAGCATTTTGATGGGCCGTTGGTCAGCGATATATTGTTAAGCTCCCTAATATCAAATACCACGCTGTGTTTTGGCGGCTTGCATAACAATTCGGACTGTTGGTTGCCATCGGGAAAGATGAACATAATATTTATCCTCCACACCGCTCATCTCAATCTCACACATTGTTACAGCTATGATATTGTTACAATTTGTCACCATGGCCACAGTGAAGAAGGCTAAGTACCACACAATAACATGGGGAACTAACAATATATTACCCAGGGTAATATTTCGAATATATCCCCCTTTACATTTTTAGAATACTCAGTTATCGTATATTTTTGGAAGGAATATATTGATATTTTCCGAAAAATTGCATTGGTTGATTACAGTATAACCGGCTGAGTTCACCGGATGGGGGGTCAACTGAAGGAAATGTTCACACTAGAATAGAAACAAGGAAATGAAGTCTCTCGACTCTGTTTATTTGCTAACAAATACAAAACTATACTACAAGCAAGCATTGAAAAGAATCCACATCATTTTTTAATGCTGATAACTATTGAATACGGCATATAGTGAAACCACGTGTAACATAGCATCACTTGTAAAGGTTCCATTTTCTTAATTAAAGTTTCCATTTCCTTAAAGTTTTTGGCTTGATATTTACCTGTTTCTCAATTTCCCTTTTGGCTTGTTCCTCCTTTCGTTTCCTTTGTGTGACTAATTCCAATCGAGCCGCCTATCAGTTGAATAGAAAAAAGGTTAATAATGAATACTATATCATATTTCCATGATCTCTGAAACGTAGTTCTGCCCTTGCAAGTATGACTTAGGTGGTCTGCAACAATATAATTAATGGCAAAGTCAGAAAATCCATATTTTCTGACGAGACAAGACCAGTTATAGACTAATGATGATTTTGGAAATAAAATCGAAATATCACAAACTTGTGTTTCTAGTCTTATTCTGATCCATGTCTTGGATTGATCAACATGTTATTTTTCAGACTTTGTATTCTATTTTTTAAAACTGTTGGCAGAGCCAGGTTGGCACTGCTTTCAAACACAATATAGTGTTGGCGGTAATAAGAAACGTGTTCAAAGTTTTCATTTATCATGACTACAAAACATCAATAATTAGTTAAGAATTTCAAACGTTCACTGGTTAAAAATATTTATTTTGACGAACTTTCGACTGCCAGTGTCTTCGACGGAGACTGCATACTGGCAGTCGAAAGTTCGTCTAAATAAATATTTTTAACCAGTGAACGTTTGAAACTCTTAGTATGAATCCTGCATGGTTTCGCATCTAACATCTTTAAATCAATAATTAGTCTTTGTGATTTATTAAGATTAATTACAGAATAATTATATTGATCATCTATATATATATATATATATTCCTTTTCTACAATAATTTACTATATTAATCTGTCTAATCCTGGGATTATTAGAATTGTCAGGAAGTACAAGTTGTCAAATCACCGTTATTGTTTAATCCACCTTAATCGTATAGACTATTGGAATTGATATGGAATTGAATCATGTTTATAGTTAGGTAAGGAAACTGCTTTTATATATCAACATTATATTTTCTCCCCCACACAAACCAGAATTTACTAAATCTATTCCCTCAACTCATGGTTGCCATAATACCACTACTTCTCCTTCATTGGATGAAACAGGCTGTTGTGGCAGTCTTGAGGAATGTGGGAATTATAAAACTATATTATAGTTGCTCTATCCATATGATATCCAGCACTCTCTAGCATTTCCTCAACCAAAACACATTGAATTTCTAGTCTATTTTAATTATTCTTTCGATTCGCATGATACGCTACAAATATACCACCTAGCGCTACAATTGTACATTTGTTTACTAAATCATTACTCAAACGAAAACACCAGACCAATAATATAACCTCTAACTCTTATTTCCCAAATGGAAATATCTCTACTTCAAATACTTCTATATGTTTGCATGCTGCATGTAAATAATACGAAATCTTACCCAAAACCGAGGCATGATGAAAAACTTTAAAAACTTTACTCCTCGCTACAAGCAACTCAGCCACTTGCGTTATAAAAACTGTCTGCGTGATGTTATTGCCTTGATAGTTTATATAGAAAGTCCAATATCAGTATATAGATGAATATGTATGTTAAATTCAGCATAAGCGTTAAGTACGACGGAGTGAACACTTTAACTTGCTTCTTTAACCAAAACCGAAATATATTCTACTACATCTGACTAAATCCTCTCCAAATTTGGGGAAAACTTTCCCATGCCTCGCCAAGCAACGGTAACACTTCTTTTCTAAAAGATCTTTCTCATTTCCAAACTGATGCAAATATACCAACGGAAACAGTAAATTCTGCGTGCACTCATTCAAAGGCCCCTTGTATCTACTCGCCCACATTACGTTGTCATTAAACCATTAGGACCGATATCATATATCGCCTAAATCGTTTATTGGCCATGCTAAACACGACATTTAAGGAATATAGTTGATATCTCAGGTTGAAGTACGATTATATATTGAACTGTATAGACGTGCTGACTGTTTTCACTATCTTATTGTGTGGGAAAATTTCCCGAGTTTAGAGATTACAATATTATTTTTGATTTGTTGTCGAGAGATGATATAATTACTCAATGACATGATTGCTAGCATGCTTCAACACAACAAATGATGCAACGATGCCTCGGGCTTTCATCCAAATACTAAACTTTATTTATACTAGATATAGCTCGATCAGCTCTAACGTGCTCTCCTCAAAAATCTTGTATGATAAGAAAATATAATATAAGATCTGTGCCAGTGAGTGCAGGTATAGTACCAAGTACTATAGCTTTCCGACGAAGAGCCTTCGCTCGAAACGTCGAAGCTCCTTGTACTTTTCAGGTAGCTGGATTCCTATCAATCCTAGCTTTCGTAATATAAGAAGCTGGACTATTTTGAGTCACTATGACCTGGTTTCATTGCGGAATTCAAAACTGACTAGAAGCTGAAAATATTCTAAAGAAACCGAAAAGGACTCTCCTTAATGACGTCACAATGACGTCACGCTACGTGACGCTAGAACACGAACACGAGCAAAGAAATGTTTGAGACTCTATTTCTATCAATTTTGATAGAATTTGATGTTCTCTTCAGGGCTAGAATGTGACAGAGATGAACCATAACGTGACTCTTAAAATCATCAATCTCCTTGGAGATGTTAAGTTACTTCTAATTACCCTCATTAATTGCTGTTTTTGGTCAATATGATTGTAATTGCAACATTTGTAGTTTTGGCGCTAGTGGACTCTCGCGCTCATTGACCAAAACTCCTAATTACTAGTACGAGTTAAAATTTAAAAAACATGCCAGCTTTGCGGTTTCCTCTACAACAAATTTTAATTATGCTTGGAGTGGGCGAACGCCTGGGAAAACGTTTCTCACACGAGAATTATTTCAACCTTTCATAAAACTTCTGACGTACAGCCAAAACTAAATGCCCACGTTTATGGGAAATGCTCATGGTATCAAATTATCCATACACTCCCACAGATGAAAACTGCACAAATTTACGCAAATTAAGCCTAAGAAATTAATATCTTTTGGGGTTTACACTATCAAAGTTTCTGTGATCACAGTAGGAATTTTGTATCGGTAAGTTTTGAAGGATTTGTAAGATATGTTCGAGGAAACTGACTCGGTGTTAACACTACGCCAGGCCCCCTAAACATTTCTTATAAATCTTTCAAGACTTACAATGGGCCATTTGCATTATAGACTAAATTTTGATCTAAACAAGTCTAGACAAATATTTCATCACAGCTTGATTAATTTTGTGACGCTCTTTCAAGCTGTGATGAAATTTTTGTCTAGACTTGTTTAGATCAATCCATTTACCTATACAGAATTCCTGCTGTGACGCCCGAGACTTTGATAGTGTGAACCGCAGGCTAACAGATTATAACAACTGTACGACTATGAATTATATCAATGAGTTAACGACATGGGCAAAATATTTTCAAATAAGCCTTGTCTTTAGAGTCTTTAGACGCAAGTATATAGACGGTTTATTCAATTGTCTGTGTCAGTGTAAGAAAGCTGTGGATTAATACGGATACAATCGCGTGTGGAGCGAAGACCGTTCGTCGAGAAGCGCCTTCGCTCGAAACATCGAAGTTCTCCTTGTATTTTTCAGATAGTTGTATTCCTATCAATGCGTAACTTTCTTATAATTTGACGGTAACGTTTAACGTTGCGTGAAGAGAATATAATAGAGAGTTTAAGCTTCGTGTTATACGTCATGAACGGCAAACATCAGGCAAAGAAAAATTTTACAGTATGAGGCAATAACGAGTAAATGAACTAGCTTGCTGTTTTAAAACTGAAATACATAATTATTCTTTCGACGCAAGAATGAAATATGAAACGAAAACGTTCAACGAAAATTTTGCCAAGAAAGTTCGAACCTGCCGTTTGTCGTTCCCGGAAACGTAAAGCTTAAACTCCCTAATGTACAAAGTTTATGTTCAACCATATTTTGCGGCTGGAAAATTTTGATTCCTCGAAGTTCAACGCGGACTATGTTCGCAGGAGATCGGACGATTTGGGAACATTACGTAAACTCGTCCGGTTGTATACTTGCTTACACAGTTCATGTCAGATTTATGTGCGTGGAGTTAAGCAAGAATTCGCCCGGTCCCGTGGGAACGGAAGTAATTCCTTACCTCAAATTGATCCAGGAATGTTGAGAATATTCCGAAAAATTCCTCTGTGGTGGTCATATTTGGATCTTCTCCAAAAAACTTGGCAGTTTTGGTATACTCTGACTGCATTTGATCATGAAGATTTAGCAAGGTCTCCATGTCCCTCTTGGAGTTCTCTACAAATGACTGTGCAGATAATGTGTTAAGGAATATTTCAAAAACTTTCAACTTTTAATAATAATAATTATAAATTAAATATATTTACAGCTTGCCCTGCAAATAACTATAGAGTTAATTGAGGCAGGGCAAGTAGGTAGTATTTTAAATATAAGCTATAAAGTAGCTACAATAGTTATGTACTGTTTAATAAACTAGCAGGAGTGTTTTATTAGGTTTAAAGCCACGAGCGCGCAGCGCGAATGGCTTTAGACCTAATAAAACACGACTGCTCATTATCCTCATAGCCTTCTTTTGCAGGATCAATAATGGGTGCAAGTTACTTTTGTATGTATGTCCCCATACCAGGACAGCGTACGTAAGAAATGGGTAGATTACTGAGTAATAAACTTGAATGAGTATATCAATTGAAACAAAATCACGAAGTTTAAATAATATGCCAATACCTTTGGATATTTTTTTGCATAACTCAAAGACATGATCCTTCCAGTTCAAGTTACAATCTATAATTACGCCAAGATATTTGACACTTTTCTTCTCCTTCATTTTGTTGTCATGAATTTTCAAATTCATTGAGTAATTAACTTTCTTTTGTGGTGAATGAAAAAGGACAAAGTTTGATTTTTCAATATTTATTGAGAGTTTATTAGCACATAACCACTTGCCAACCAAAATTAATTGCTCATTTACTATTCTTTCTAAATTTTGAAGATTATTATCAGAATAAAATAAGTTTGAATCATCTGCAAATAAATGAAACTTAACTTTTGGAGCAGAATTGTTAAAATCATTGATATATAACAAAAATAATAAAGGGCCTAAAACTGAACCTTGTGGAACTCCACAAGTTATAGGCTTTTGTTCAGATATTACATTCCCAATCGAGACATACTGCTTTCTGTTCGAAAGATAAGATAAAAACCATTTTTGTACTATTCCTCGTATTCCACTGTTTTCAAGTTTTTTTGAGTAATATTGTATGATTTACAGTATCGAAAGCTTTACTCAAATCAAGAAAGATACCACATGAGTACATTTTGTTTTCTACTGCTTTTTGAATTTTATCTGCAATAAGTAAGATGGCATGTGTTGTAGAGTGGTTTGAACGGAAACCAAAGTGGCCTTGAAAAATTACTTGGTTCTTTTCTAGAAACATTACAAGTCTCTTATACATTAATTTTTCTAAAATTTTGTTAAAAACTGAGAGTATAATGAAATAGGTCGATAATTTGATACAACCGACTTAGAACCTTTCTTATAGATTGGTATCACTCTAGCTAATTTAAATTGATCAGGCACAACCCCTGTTAGAAATGAGCAATTAAAGAGATAAGCAAGTGGGCCAGATAAGAGAAATCTCAAAATATTTAACAATTTAGTAGGAATACTAAATGGCCCAACAGACTTAGATGGGTTAAGATTATTAATTTCCTCTTCCACTTCCAAAGTGCTTACAGGAGAAAGGAAAAAACTATGACATAATGATTTGTTAAGAAATTTCTCAAATGAAATATCTATTATGGGTATGGTATTAGCTATATTTGAACCAATATTAGAAAAATAGTTGTTAAAGGCATTAGCAATTGATTTTGGATTAGTCAGTTTTAAATTTTCTACTTCCAATAAATTTGGAACTAAATAAGGCTGATGTTTTAGTGTTATCAGCTGTTTAATACCTTTCCAGGTATTTTTTATATTATATTTATTATTTGCAAAATATTTATTATAATGGGATTTTTTGCTAACAAGTATAAGATGTTTTAGTTTATTTCTATAAGTTTTAAACTTAGAAAAATAAAAGAACAGACTGAGCTTAGCTCAGGTTTGTAACAACTGCTTTGACTTAACATTAATGGGATTATTTTTATATTGTACAATATTTAGTGTGCATTACTGAAAGTAAGAATCGCATGAATTATCCATGCAACAGTAGAAAATATGGAGTAGAGTAAATTAGCCTAGTCAAATTCTTAATATCTATACTTTTTTAATTTTTTCAATTATCATGGGGATTTGAATGTAGTCATCTTCTTTTTCCAATATTTTAAATAGAAGTTGTTGAATGGTCCTTTTAAATAAATTCTTAGATAGGTCACTTACATGGCATGGTATCTCGTTCCATAATTTTACTCCAAGCCGTGAAAAAGAATACTTTTGTGTGTTTAGTCTAGAACTTTTTACATAAAACTTTTCTGAAGTATATGATCGTGTACTGTGTAAGTGAATAGTGGATGATTTCTCGAATAAGTTTCATATATTTTGAGGTGCTTTACCATTATTTATATCATGCATTAAACTCGATATATAGATTTATAATAGAGAAAGGTCATCGGTAAAATATGAGCATCAAGAAATAGGGGGACTGCGTGATCGCATCTATCCGCAAAAAACATCATACGAATTACCCTTTTTTGAAGAATTAAAATTTTATCGACTCAATAATTCATGAGGAAAACAGGAAGAAAAATCATAAGCGTGTCGTATCTTTATCTTCCCTTGATTTACATAAACTTTAACTTTGATTTTCTCGACTTACACAACGTATTTTTTGAAAATTACTTCGCCAATGAACTTATTAGATCGATCGTTTTTGAAGCAATTTGAAGAAACATTCGCAGTGCGTGTTTTATCAGATCTAAAGATACTCGGCTTCGCCTCGTATCTTTATATCTGATAAAACACTGCTGCTCATGTTTGAAATATTTAACAATTATTTGCCGAAGGCGAGGTGATTATCGGGGAATATTCGCCGAGACAAAGTCGAGGTGAATATTCCCCGATAATCACCGAGCCTGAGGCGAATAATTGTTGTAGTATTTTTGCACAAGTTTTTTTGTGTTTTTCTGGTCTGAATTCATTTTAGTTTCGCTTATTTCTTCATCACTAACTTCAACAAAACGGCTAGCCGCCATTTTGAAAATTTCGATTTTGTTATATTCACCTGTAGGTGAATAAAACAGATTAATACGTCAAATTTGACCAATCACCTTGTAGGATTTGTTATGTTCACTTGTATGGAATATATGGACTATCTTCTGCCTAAATAGTATACAGTATACAGGAGCACTTGAATGAATGAAAAACTTTAATTGTAGAATAAGAATTACGAGGTACAACGTAACAAACCTACGGCATGCAGACTTGTTGCGGTGCTGTTTCAACAATTTGTCAGCAGGATGTATTCGCACTCCTTGTTGACAGATTGTCAAGACTCAAGGGCTTGTTGATAACAAGGTTGTTGAGCTCAACAGACTTGTTACAAGTTGTTCCAACAACTTGTTGTCGTCCTGCAATTCAACAATTTGTCAACAAGTTGTAAGTGACTAGCAACTTGATAAAATAACAGCATTGTTACAACTTGTTAACAAGCTTGCTACAAACCTGTTGCGAACACATCTTGTTGACAAATTGTGAGATTTTTATATTAACAAACAGGGTTGGTAAGTTTGCTGAATAATTAGGCCAAATACCGTCACACTAGGTCTCTGTTTTCTTTGTTTTCTAAACGGTACTAATGACGATTTGGCCTAATTATTCATCTAACTTACCAACCCTGTTCACAAATGTTAGTCTATTTTTAAAATGCTATAGCAACAAGGATACACCCATAATTTCTGCAAACTTATCCTCGTCGTTTTCCGGTATCTGACTGCCATGTTGTTCTAAATCTGTCTTCACATCCTGTGGAAATAATTAGAATATTCTACATCAGAAATTCTGCCCTCGTATTTGTAGACGATTATTTTTAAACATTTTTACACACCTCCATAGTTTTAACTACTTCATCGATTTCTTCTTTGACCATTTGATACGAAACTGAGAAAGGAATAACTTTATTTAGAATTTTATCTTATCCAAATACGTAAAAGAGGGAAATTTGTATTAATTTAATTTATTTGCTCCTGGGGATCAACTACTGCAGGGTAGTGCTTTTTAAAGCCCTGAGAATTGATAATGAATGAGAGTTGAGAAGCGAGAGTTTGCATGAGAGTTTTCTCAACTCTCTGTCCCGGTCAAACGAGAACAGGAGTTGACGAGAGTTGGCTGGATATTACTGTTCACACGAGCAAAAACTCTCATCAACTCTCTCTCTTGAAAATTTAAACCAGCCCAGATCTGAGGAGAACATAGATGTCTCGTACATGAGATGAGACGGTCAAGCGCGAGCAAGGGAACTCTCATTAACTTTCGTCAACTCTCGTTTGATCAGTAGTAATAATGCTTTAATGATAACCTGACTACAACACATTCAGCTCATTGATTGCTTCAATTCATTCCAGACACAAAAGAATAAAGAAAGGCTTACCTCTGGCAGCCAGAGATATGGAGGTTAGTTCATTTTTCAAATCCAGAACTTCAGGACATTTTGTTTCGACAGTTTTCACCAGAAATTTCAGCAAGTTAGACTTGTTGTCTGATGTCTTGGTACTTGACAACTAAAGGAGTCAAAGTCATCAATTGATCGAAATAATTTTAGTGTGATCGATTTATCAAAAACATGTCAATGCGTTTTTACTCGTTTGACATTACTTAAAGCCGGTTACAGACGAGCAAGTTTTCTATGACAAGTTTTTATGTGACAAGTTTTATTTGCCAAGTGCACGTGTGTATATGCAACAAGTTTTTCTATGACAAGTTTTCATATGACAAGTTTTATTTACTGGTGTGAACGTGTCAGAAAAAGGTGTTTATCGCCGCCATGAGTCGTGACAGAAAAATTATAATAGTCCGCTGGCTAATCCCATCAAATGCTCAGATTACTTTGACAAGTTTTCTTTGTTGACCCATACAGACGAACAAAATTTGTACTTTGACAATTTTTTCTATGACAAGTGCACTTGTTCAAAAGCTAACATGCTAGCTCAAGTGCACTTGTCATAGAAAAAAATGTCAAAGTTGCGCGTACAGACGAGCAAATAAAACTTGTCACATAAAAACTTGTCATAGAAAACTTGCTCGTCTGTAACCGGCTTAAGTGATATGCGGACGGTCCATATATACGGTTCTAAACTTCCTACCTTTGCTAGAAAACCAACTCTAAACGCGGATGCTCCTGCTATTCTTGCATTGCCTTGATTCATGTAGTTGCCAAATGCCAGGACAAGCTGTGAAAAACAGTAGTTGTTAATTGCATGCTAATTAATGCTAATGATGAGTAATTGAAACACATTAGCAAACAATTGAATCCAATTAGGAAATTGAATCGTACTTGAAGAACTTGTTGTAGTTTTTTACTCTCCCTTAATTCTTGAGATGCTTTGACCACCCTTTCTAATTCCTGGAAATTAAGAGGAAGTCTTAATTAGTATGTCTTAATTAGTCAATTGGTTAGATTAATTAGTCGCTATTACTCAGAAGAGCAAGAAAATCAAGCAACATATTACTCGTTTGATATTACTCGTTTGAAAACCAGACGAACGACATACCTACTCTAACAGGGCCTTTATATTGACCTACCGGTTTTATTTCCTCCAACTTGTCGGCAAAATGTGATTTAAATAACATCGCCTTAAGCCTGTGTCTGTAGCCAGGAATCTTGCTTACCTAAATATGCAGAAATTCCAGTAAAATCACGCAAATGTAAATATTTCTCAGACATAAAGAGATTACCATCATTGAAAATTTATCACATCGTCCTAGTTTTTCTTCATCGTCTGCAAAGTGTTTATACTTTTGTATCTGAAAGATGGAAGATAAATCATCATAAATCAATTTGATCAAGTCTCGAGGGGAAGTCGAGGACTGGATCAAAATGCGAGGACTTGAAATCTAGTCCAGTCCGAATTGGAGGATTTGAAATGACATCTCATACGAATAAATCACTACTTAATTAATTTTGATCCAGTCCAAGGACTGAATTAATTTTTATCCAGTCCTAGGACTGGATCAATGTACCTCATCAGGTATCCAGTATTATGTGAGCAAAATAAAGCAATATGGTTGGCTAATTTACTCATGCATTAATGAGTTTGAGATAAATACTTACCTCCTTATGGTCAGGAGCGTACAGCAATAGTTGTTTGATGTGTGCTTCGCTCAGTGTTGTTTCATCCATAGACAGCACTGCTCTTTTTATCTCTTCATGAGGAAGTTTGAGGTGCCCCAACAAGATTGCTACATGATATCAATTATGCAATCAATAAAGTAATTAATTGACCAATTAAGCAATAAATGAATTAATTATTCAAGCAACGTGTAGCAATCATACCTATGTTGTAGCAATCATACCTATATTGTAGCAATCATACCTATATTGTACTGCTTTCTTGGTTCTAAAATTTCAATAGTTTCTTGCTTCTTCGCTGGTGCTGGTGCTGTAGGAATGAATTGAAAAGATAAATGTCCCTTTTTGGCTCAAACATTGCATGCATGTTAAGAATCAAAGAACGTAGAGTGTACCTTTCTTTGTTTTACTCGAACTAAACTGTTGTTCAAGTTCAACGAAATCTTCCAATTGGTCGAGAGGATCGTTTCGCCCAAGCTGAAAAATGGAAGTTATCATTTGTGTTTTGTTACAAATAATCTTCACAAGGGAAAATATCGCTTGAGTTATTCATAGGGCATAAAGGTTTCTTGCAGCACGTAAAATAACTACCTATTTAGTTAAGTCGATAAGTCGGGAAAACTTATCTGTTTGTAATGCAGTGAGCGCTCCCTCCTCACCGCGTGTGGTCTCTCTATTCTCTAACCTAGCGGGCCAAGGGCTCCGTCTAATAAAATTAAAACGTCCATTTTCCTCAAATAATAAAAGTGGACGCAGGGATGCCGGAACCACGGGTGCAGCGGGTGCAAGTGCACCCCTTGCCTTTTGCATTTTCAACTTTGTGGGTGCAGTGCGGGTGCAGACTATGGGTGTAACGTGTGCACAAATCTTTTACAACAGACAGAATTAAACGTCGCTCGAGGAAGTGTGTGTGTGTGGGGGGGGGGGGTGTTCTACCCCCCCAGTCATCAGGAATTCGGCAAAGTTGTTATCCATTTGGCGAAAGGTGAAACGGAAAGCATTACTTATGGAATTTTTGGCGAGAAATTACGGAGGAGTTGTGGCTAAATAATTGTATTCGGTCCGAAAAAAATTGGTGGCGGAGAGGGAGGTTGACACGAATGTAGGATCATGACGCCCTTTCATTTTCATTGGTGCCCTTTTGTTAAGGAGAATGCCCTCTTGTTAACCAATTGCACCCCTTGCCCTCAGCAACTTCCGGCATCCCTGAGTGGACGAAAATTCGACGTTTAAAAACGGGCTAAAGTTCAAGAACGACCTCGATGTCTCACCTGGCCCCACACAGTATTTTCCAAACCAGCGATGCCCAATTTTTCCCAGTTCACTCTCCTCAGTTGCATCTTGGGTATTGTATCATTGCCACTGATGTTCATTCCTGGGGGTGGGGGAGGTGGTGGTGGCGGTGGTGGGGCAGGGGGGACAAAGCCTCCACTTGGTGGAATAGGAGGGTGTGGGACTTCATTTGAGGCTTGTTTTGCGAGATGTTTCCGTTGGTCTTCAATGGCCGACGAGAGATCACTATGAGTGCTTCGTGATTTTAATTCACCTGTAGATATAGAGAATCGTGAGAAATGGTTACCTATAAAGTATGTGTAAGACAACTGTTATAGTCACATAAAAGAGTGACAGCTTTTCCCTGTAACGAGTTAAAATGCAAAGTGCTAACTCCTGTCAACATTACCTTTTCGTTTGTCCAATTCTTCAGCTGCTGTGTGGATATTTGGTAGTTCGGGAGGAGGTGCTCCAATACCATCGCTAGCAATGTTTTGTGTTGCGTTTCCTACCGATGTCTGCGAGGTTGGTGATTTATTTCCATAATCTGTCTCATTGATTGCTTCTCGTTTTTCCTGTGACCGGTAACAATAGTTAATGAGGGCTGGTATTAAGGATGTTTAATTATGTGCAGTTGTTCGATTATAGTTTCATCTTAATAGCATGCAAGAAGATTGCTTTTAGTTTGATTTCAACAAATGTTAAAGTGTTATTAACCAGACAACAGACTAAAGAATATATATTTCAATTCTTACTGAATGTACTGAGGCTTCAACGGTGATCATATTTCCAGGTTTGCCAGAAAAGTTTGTATTTTCAGCCGCGGTAAGTAAAGCTGCAACAGTAGAACCTGGACGAATACAGAAAGATATTTTAACATGGGGTGTGTGGATGTTCAGACAGGGTGAATCAATCTATGAACAAACTAATCAATCTCTCTTACTTTCATTTGATCGTGGACTGTTTGGTGTTTCTTTTACAGGATATAGATCTAATTCCCCTAAGTTAGAGATAAGATAAAGATAAAACGTCATCATCATTGTATTCTGTGTGGTACCACGCATTTTACCGCAATTTCTTACCTTGCATCGATCCACCAATCAGGTTTTTGGGCTGAGGCGTTTCAGCCAATCTTATGCCTTGTACTCTGTAAGCTACATCAATCACATCTGGTCCTTCAGAACTTGAACCTGTGCAGGAATATTGAAGACAAGAACATTCAAGACATGCATGCACCTGTCACAAGTGATGTTGGTACTGTGATTAGTACATGTATATCTTATCTCTGTGGCTGGTAGAGCTATCCAGTATAAACTAATGCAATTTAGTTCAGTTTAGCAATCCTAATGAAGTTAAGTAAACTAACACAAAACATGAATACCCTACTAACCTTGAAGATATTTCGCCATTAATTTTTGTGCTTCTTTATCAAACGCATTCTGTTCATTCTCAGGCAACAGTTGACTCAAATATGGAACCATCTTAAGCTTCTCTCGATCATCCAAGATCGGCTCCAGTGATAAAACTAACATTCTCGCGTTCCTTTAGAAAGATAAAATGTTGGTTTTGAATTGGTGGGTTTAAGAGAATAAGCAGATGAGCCTATAGGACATAATTCCACTTACCTATGCTTATGATATTCCTTCAACCTTTGTTTTAAAACCAATTGTTCTCCTCTTGTTAAGAATTGGTTCATCTAAGAAATGGAATGTTAAATTAAGAGGGTCCTATGCAGGTCTTTGGATGCCAGATTTTATTTTGCAAGATTTCAGTTCCAGATTTCTGCTTCATCGTTTGTCAACTATCAGTTAAGATATCCTGTTAGTTTCCAGTCAAGAATACGTGCAAATGTCGACGATAAGTTAACCGTACCTGAAACCTGAAAGTCTCGGCTAAATTCTGCACAGATCTGTCATCTTCATCAACAGGGATTTCTGGAGATCTTCGTGGAGAGAATGCTGCAGATGTGGAGTAACTTCTCTGGAATGTTGACTGTTCCAAGTCATGTTGTAAGACCATTGATGAGGGTCTCTGATGGTATGATATGGTGTTCCCACGAGGTGATGTCGGTGGAGTTTGTTTAGTGGGTGATCTACTGCCTTTTGACCATGTTCTGTAATGCAAGTAGATAGTTGAGGTGGTGATGATGGTGGTGATGATGATGATGGTGGTGATGACGATGGTGATGGTGGCGATGATGATGGTGGTGGTGATGATGATGGTGGTGATGATGATGATGGTGGTGGTGGTGATGATGATGATGATAATGGTGGTGGTGATGATGGTGGTGATGATGATGATGGTGGTGATGACGATGGTGATGGTGATGATGATGATGATGGTGGTGATGATGATGGTAATGATGGTTAGAGTGTTGATGGTGAGAGTCGTGATGGTGATGTTAATGGTGAGAGTAATGATGATAATGATGGTGGTGATGATTATTACATTACATTACATTATTATTCAGCCCCATTGGAGCTTTTCAGTCACAGATTACATCAAGTATTACGATTACTTATGTTACTTACTTAGCCTAGACTATTTATCTTTACAACAACTGTGATTACTTTCTCAAATGTGTTTATCCTAACCCACCCTGTCAACTTTCCCTGTGGGAGGAAACTGGAGCACCCGGAGAAAACCCACAACGTTCGGCTGTTGACTGACTCTTTTCACATGAGTCCGTAGCGAGAATCGAACCCACGATCTCAGAGGTGAAAGGGGTTTGCTCTGACGATGGTGGTGGTGATGATGATAATTATTTCTATGTTTTTTTCATAAAAAAATTAACGACAAAATTACCTGTACTTTGATGTTTCTGGTGATTTCGATCGAGGCAGATCATTCAACTTTCCTTCAAACGATGCACTTCGTACTAAACTTGCTTTGCTTTGATTTTCTTGCAAAATATCTGCGAAGATTTGCCTTTGATCTCTCGGGATTAGTTGCCTAAACATTGAAAATACAGTAGAAAAAATACAGAGAAAACCTGTATCAAATTTGAAATACTCTTTTCAGTACACGACTGAGGCAAAATAATTATTAGATAAATGCATATTGCAAGATGGCACAATACCAGAAATACTGTCCTTACCTTATTGTAGGGATAAGTCTTTTCTGTACAGGAGTTTCTAAAATCTTCATAACCCCTCTTGCTAATGTCTCTACAGATTTATCTTTGGCAAATTTGTTTAATAATTTCACAAGTTGCGACTTCTTTTTCTCTTCGCCTGCTAAGTAATAGTTCATCTAGGAAAATAATTTTGACATTATTAGCACTGAAAATACAGTCGAATGCATTCTTACGCACACCAAATGTAAAACGGACACCAAAATATTAGACATGCATAAAATACCTCTTGAAAGAATTCGCGAGCTCGACGAAACCTTGACGCAGTATTCCGTTTTTCAATCTCTTCTATCGACTTTACCCCAGCAATCAAGACTAGCTGTAGCACAGAGCCAGATGTATTGAGCAACCGTTCCACTTCAATATAAGTCATATCTCGTACTGAGGTATTATTCACCTCGACCAACATATCACCGAGACGAATCCCCGCCACTTTAGCCGGACCTCGTTCTTCTAACTGGGACACGAATACCGGCCCACCTCCTCGGACCTTGAAACCAAACGTCCCCCTCCGTCTTCGTAGAGTAAAAGTCCTTATCCTTGAAATAACACAAAGTGCAGGGGGTACCCTCTTAGATTGTCTTGCTAAACCAATAACATCGTCTTTACTCAAGCCCTGTACATTAATACCATCGATTTCTAAAAGTTGGTCGCCAGGTCGTAGGCCAGATTTTTGAGCATAAGAGTTTTCAAATATGTCCGTGATTATTACAGGCGCATTTCCGCCTATCCGGAATCCGTAGCCCTCGGGCCAATTTTGATTTGTCCGTGACGGTGTTGGTGATTGGTACCTCGGGCTTTGCATAGCAACGGGTGAATAATGCCTATAAAAGTCACCTGTCTTTGATTAGGAAAATAGGATTAAATATCTAATACAGGTTTTAGAATTGCCCAAAGGCAAAGCCCAAAGTTAGACTTGGTTATTGTCTCGGTGAAGCGAGAACTGATTTGATTCTTGTATAGATTGATTAGATATACGTAGCAACGATTGAATTACGATGCAAAGCGATCACTCTTTAACAAGAGACCCAATGGGATTAATTGTGTATTATGGTTTTAGCTCTGTCCAAAAGAGAACACGAGTCGTATTGTATATTATACTTGGCTTGATATAGCTTACAGTGAAGCACTAATTTGATATTTTGGTAACCGAAGCATGTTAGTTTCTGGCTGGGTCCCAAGATTGAACGCGAGTAAGATTTGAAGTATTACCGGTGAAATATTACCAGATCACGTTTTATTCTTCACAATAATCGACGACTAGCCATGTATCTTCAGCGAGATTATAATTAATCTATACTGGTCCAGTTTTATACCAATACCATAAAGATATTACACCTGAAAATGAAATCTCCGTTCTTTGAAACAATTATAGTTTTCAGCTATTTACATCAATTTCCCGTTCAATTTCCTTGTGGTAGAAATGAGATATGACTATCTCTAACCAAGAAGCCACACGACTGGAATACGATATTTCAGACTTGATTAGCACGAGATATAATTAGATGACCCTCGAACAGAACGACCAAGCAGTCCAAGCTTCGTTCGTTTTGAAGTGTTATGAGCGTGAGCTGTCTTTTGGTATGAACTATGTCAACATTCAACGGTATTAATCCTCTCCTTACAAATTTAAATTTTGTCCAGTCATTAAGTTGGCGTAACAATGCACGAAGTTTACATTTTCCAAGCCATGTTTCGTTTTATTGTTGACGTTATAGTATTCTCCCTAACAACTGGAATTAAATGTAATTTAACACCTTAATGTAGTGAGATGATCATTTAGTATGTCTTTCTGCGTTCACAGTTTTAAGTGCTAATTTGACATTGTAATAAACGAAATTAATAGAGTTGATTTGATAGATAAGAAGATATATAGATAGAAGATATATGGATGGTATGAACAAGCTTTCGTTGGTAGGGATACAACTACCTGAAAAATATAAGGAGAATTTCGACGTTTCGAGCGAAGGCGCTTCGTCTGGACTCTACTAGTCAAAACATTGAAATTCTCCTATATTTTTCAGGCAGTTGCATCCCTACCAAGGAAAGCTTGATCATATTATTGGCGCCATACCAACACTGGCACAGACAGTTCAAGAAAATATGGATGATATGTATATGTGTACAAACTATCAGGAAAGTGCTTGTGTGATGTTACTCTGCATGAGTGCAGAGTCAGGTATATCCACACCGGGCAGCGGCTTGAAAAATATGCCTGGCCACGGAGGGAATCGAACCTACAACCTTTGGAATGCTAACCCAATGCTCTGCCAACTGAGCTACGCGGTCAGGTCGGTTCGAGTATGCGATATTTCGGAACTGAGTCTAGTTCCTTCGATATCAGTGTAATCTAATAATCATGATATTTATCATTTATCAGTATATTTTTCAAGCCTGCCCGGTGTGGATATACACTCAGAGTAACATCACACAAGCATCTTATTCACCTGAGTACATTACACCAACACAGAAAATACTATCAGGAAAATATCAAGCATGATTTTTTTCACAACCATTGCCAGTAGAGAGAGATCGTGCTTAAATGATAACTGAGACTAATAATACCAGACTAGTTACCGTCTCTAGTATATATAAATCAGGGTTATGAGAGAAACATGTATATATAGTAACATTTTGACAGTTGAAAGATAAATTAATGAAGTCGTATGCAATGTGAAAAGTTGAAAACTATAGTGAACAAATATTGTATGACATATCCAAGAATGTGATTCGATCGTCGCGAACCCCTGGTTGAAAAAAGTAACTTGGAAGACCAAATTGAGAGTTCAATTATTTGTAGCTTTATGAATGATTTCGTAAATAATATATAAATACAAAAATGGCATGTTATTCATTATGTTATTAACTCAAAAATGTTACTTTTCAAACAATTTCATTGGTTTATAACATTTTAATTCAAGGATAACGCGAGAATGGTTCACAGTTTTGTATTTTCTGCGATTTCTTCCGGATCGGCGAGAGCGCACGAGAGAACCAACACGGAATTGCTTCGAGTATTCTTGGAAATCTAGTAGGATAATATGAGAATAAGAGTGGTGGTGGTGGGCTGTGTGTGTATAGGCCATAGGAAGTATAGGTGGTAGTGGGTACGGGAGTTGCGGGAGGGGGGATCTTTCCTCCCAGGCATACGGTGAATCGTAAAGGAAGCAGAAAGAGTGGAGGGCGGGCGGGGGGGGGGTTGGAAACACAAAAAGTGCATCCTTTGCAACGCTTACCCTGAAATAAATCTTGCATTTTTCCAGTAAATATTTCGTCTTGAATTCCGCTATTGCCGATGCTGGTAGTTGTTGAAACTGATCAGGCTTTAGAAACAAATAAAGTTCAATGATGTATCAATACCACACTAGAGTTTACCGATCATTGGGGTAAGGGCCTGAGTTCCAATGATCGTTTTAGATGTACATCGACTTTATGAACAAACCGTATACAAAATTTATGACAAAAACTTACCGGATAGCCCAGTACAGTTTCCAAAGCAGAGGACATCATACGACAGTTTATGATTGTACCAGAGTGATCAGATATATCTACCAGTAGGTTATAGGTGAGCTGTGATTCACTGTGGTTCTCGTCGCTACATGTTGGATTATCACATTGACCTGTGAGACTGTTCACTCGACGTTTACATTTATTACTAGAAGAAACATAAATTAAATAGCGTGAATAATTGTTGAGACTAAAGCTCAGGTCACACTACACAACGATTTCGTACAAGATGAAATCCCCCCCCCGCCCATCACTTTCTAATGTCCGCCCCTAAGGCTTCCCCACATGATTGTATCTGTCTTGCATCCTTTGCAATTCTGGTCTCATGCAGTTGAACGGAATGATGAATATCAGCTCCTAATTACTTTACCTACCATCTCATTGCTAAGATATTATCAATATTGTCATCAATGTTGAACTTGGTGAGATAAGCAAACACTATGCCATTGATGTTATCTGATGACGTGTCTCCGGCAACTTTAGTGATGGTCTGTTTTATTTTCTCTATAGAATACACCTCCGTAATCCCTTCCACTGCAAGAGTACAAAAGATGTAGCTATAACGGTAAGCAGATCGATCAGTAATAGTTAGGCACGCGTGGGTTCGGTGAACTACTTGAAAAAGATATCTCAAACGTGGAGATCCAGTGTAGGTAGTATGCTACAATAAGCTACAGTGGTTTGTGTCTGAACTACCTGAAAAAGATATCTCAAACGTGGAGGTCCAGTGTAGGTAGTATGCTACAATAAGCTGTCGTGGTTTGTGTCTGAACTACCTGAAAAAGATATCTCAAACGTGGAGGTCTAGTGTAGGTAGTATGCTACAATAAGCTGCCGTGGTTTGTGTCTGAACTACCTGAAAAAGATCTCAAATATGGGAGGGGTATCCGCTGATCGATTGGTCCAGGGATAGGGTAGGTAGTGTTCTATAATAAGCTACCGTGGTTACAGTAAGCTATTGTTACAGTAAGCTATCGTGGTCTGGTTTGAACTACCTGAAAACCTTTTAACCAGTAAGTTAATAGTTAAATAGCAGTCAATTTTAAAATACGCGATTTTGATTGATTAACTTTTTCAGGAGGTTTAATGACCGCTACATTTTGTCAAAAGTCTCGATGCTTACGATTAAATCCTGCGCCATAATCTCCTCCACTATTTTCACTAATAAGTCCATTCAGAATCTCTGGAGATTGTGCATAACTATATAGTTGATGAGCTTGTCTTATGTCTATAGAAATATATAATAAGCAGAGCTAGAAATAGATTCTTCCATCATTGGAAATACAAAATTAAGGAATGTAATGATTGTGGTGTATCTCGTGTGAAGATATATTTCAGAAAATGCTAGTCTGTCCACACCGGGCAAGTTAAGGGAGTTTGAAAGGAATATATGGTAACATATTGGTTACCTGGATTGACAGTGATGATTGTCCTGTTGCCACAGACCGATGCCATCGTTTTCTTGTAGTCATCATAAACAATTTTCAAATCTGCGATGAACAACACTGAAGAAGATAAAGGCATTGTTACAGCAACACAGATCTAGATAGATACAGATATTGCACAGCACGCTCCCTATTTTAAGTTAGCAAGCCACATTATCTTAAGTTAGAAGAGGGTCTTAATGGGGGTCTTTGGATGTCAGTTGTCAGCTAAAATTTAAGCCAGTTGTCAGTTGTCAGTGCGGTATATTGCAAGGTGTCAGTAGTCAGTTACTGCAAAATGCTAACTCATCATTTTTTCATCATTTCTCAGTTCTCAGTTAGTTAGGATATTTTGTCAGTTGTCAGTAAAAAATTCAGGCAAATGTCAGTAGTCAGTTAACCCATTCAGACCCTCTTAGATTTGTTAGTTATTGTAATATTTAGTACAATTCTCAATTTATTCATTCAATATTCGAGTATGATATATATCAGTCCGTGTAAACCTGTTTCCCCAGGGCTCCACGACATTGCCATTTCAATTGCATTCTCATCCCATCTGAAAAGAAAGATCTGCATGAGTCTACATGCTCCATGTGCTTGCATAAATACCATTTTACGTACATTGTCATTAAGAACGAATTACACGTCTCGTCAAATACTTGAACTTCACATTTCTGGATTTGTTTTCCACGTTTTGTCATGAGGTCTCTCGGCTGTGCAACCTGCGATTGAAAGCATTCATTTTCAATAACAACTTTTTGTTTGCTATTAGGTGCTCTACCAGTTCTAAACACTTCCCCCTGGAGGTCCAGTAAGGATCATCCAAAACAAGTCTTAAGCCCTGGTCAGAGAGTTGGCAGGCGAGAGTTGGCATTGGAGTTTCATCAATTCTCGTGTCCCCTGGTCAAACGAGAACAAGAGTTGATGAGAGTTGAGAAGCAAGAGTTTGCATGAGAGTTTTCTCAACTTTCATACCCCGGTCAAACGAGAACAAGAGTTGCACGAGAGTTGATGAGAGTTGATAAGCGAGAGTTTGTATGGGAGTTTTCTCAACTCTCATACCCTGGTCAAACGAGAACAAGAGTTGCATGAGAGTTGATGAGAGTTGGCAGGCGAGAGTTTTCTCAACTCTCATACCCTGGTCAAACGAGAACAAGAGTTGCATGAGAGTTGATGAGAGTTGAGAAGCGAGAGTTTCTATGAGAGTTTTGTCAACTCTCATGTCCCGGTCAAACGAGAACAAGAGTTGCATGAGACTTGATGAGAGTTGACTGGATATCACTGGTCAAACGAACAAAAACTCTCATCAGACACGAGCGAGAGTTGAGCATCCTCAAATGACAAGGGATTTATCGCTCTTACGTTTTTAACAGCGACCAAGACATTCATATGATCACCATGGATATTCTGTCCTGAAGACAATATATCATCAATAACGCAGTAATCACCATGTTCCTTCACAGGAGTATGTATAAGGACATTCATGTCGCTCAGATCCCAGCCACTGTACAGAGAAACTGTGGAATGTGCTTCGCTCACGTTCAGCTGAATATTACTAGAGAAAAAATCATAATTCATTCAATATATTAAAACAGTGCATTTTTTAAGGATCTTCAGTGCATTTTTTAAGGATTCTTCATGTTTTAAGGATTCTTTGGCAAAACTGCCAAAGGGCCCATTTTCTCCTTGCCCTCCCCCCAGGAGAGTATGCAATCCCCGAAGGTGTGAGCCGAGTATCGCAGGCACGAGTTAGCTAGGGGGGTCTGGGGGCATGCCCCCCTTGAAATTTTTAAAATTTGGGTTTCTGAAATAGCATTTCCTGCATTCACATTAAAAAAATCTTAGCTTCTCAAAACAAAGTTTTAATGGTGAAATTTGTAATAAATTGCATGCTAAACATTCAAACACAACATAACACAAGTATAATCACCAACAAATTTTGTTTTTTAAACTTCTTTTCAATGTTAAACTCATTTACTCAATACAGGACTTAGGGCCCTGGCTTTGGGGCAATAGGCCATTTTTGTTTCTTCTGTGGTGGGGCAGAGGAAGGGGCCCAGTGGGGCAAATGCCCCACTAGTCCATGGTATTAAAAAATGCCTTGTAGTAAAACCTTGAGTTAGTTTCCATGGGATGATGGTTCGAACGCCGGTTAATTTAACCCTAGGTTAACCTAAAACTCAAAGCAAACTTCCCAACAACTTGTTTATAAATATTTATTTAGAAATCTTGTCTGGATCAGTAGGAGTTTTCTGCTCTGAAGTTTTGACGCGAAGAAATACATAAACTAAAACAGCAGGTTAAATCTTAACCCAGGGTTAGGCCTAATCCACCTTTGAACAACCGGCCCCAAATTGTTATAAACAACGGCCAGGGGTATGTTCTGATGATCGTTCAATGGCCAGGGGCATGTTATGAAGATCGTGTACCTTGGAGTCCATGGCTTCCACTGCTGTTCATAATCACTCCCTTGTTTTGGCGATACTTGAGGGTTGCGGATTTCAACTACAGCATTGAAAAACATCGAAATAGATTTTTTGTAAGGATAGTGGTAACATACACAAACTTACGCAAACATCCAATCTTACCAACATCGTTAATTTTGAAAGATTTAGCAATGTCGTTGATAAATGTATCATTTCCCCAGCATGTCACATTGACAAAGTCTGTTGGAGAATCTCGGAGTGTAAAACCCAGAGAATAACGATTACATCCCGGATCTAGAGAAAAACAAATAACAATGGGGTCAATTTCCATATTAAATACTGACATTCATTTCGTATTCATATTCCGTCAAGATACGATGGTCTGGAAGCCCAGCAAACTTCAAAGCTACAAAATAGAAGACCTTTGTGTTTTCAAATGGCAGAACTGCCTTTTCAAATGCCAAAACTCCCTTTTCAAATACCAGAACTCCCTTTTCAAATACCAGAACTCGCTTTTCAAATAGCAGAACTGCCTTTTCAAATAGCAGAACTCCCTTTTCAGATACCAGAACTCCCTTTTCAAATACCAGAACTCCCTTTTCAAATACCAGAACTCGCTTTTCAAATAGCAGAACTCCCTTTTTAAATAGCAGAACTCCCTTTTCAAATAGCAGAACTCCCTTTTCAGATACCAGAACTCCCTTTTCAAATACCAGAACTCCCTTTTCAAATACCAGAACTCCCTTTTCAAATACCAGAACTCCCTTTTCAAATAGCATAACTCCCTTTTCAAATGCCAAAACTCCGTTTTCAAATACCAGAACTCCCTTTTCAAATACCAGAACTCCCTTTTCAAATACCAGAACTCGCTTTTCAAATAACAGAACTCGCTTTTCAAATAGCAGAACTCCCTTTTCAAGTAGCATAACTCCCTTTTCAAATGCCAAAACTCCGTTTTCAAATGCCAAAATTCCGTTTTTAAATGCCAAAATTCACCAAACCTAATCCTAGCGCTAAAATACTCACTTCTTTTATCTGGAAATGAATGAACTGAAAGCTTTGATATGACCACACCAACCAATAGCTAATAAAATGTAGAAATATACACTATCAAATTATGAAGCTAAAATAAAACGCTTCAGTTTGTTTAAAACCATATCGGCGTTTGAAGACTTACTTTATTAGTTGTACCCGGTGATAAATCGCGTAGAAAACTTCTGTCGCTTGTTGTATTATTTGGTTTTTCCACATTTGTCCCGTCGGGCCAATATTCCCGAGTGCCGAACTCCATTTATTTTCAAAAAAACAGAGACGAAAAATGCAGCTATAAACTATAAATTGTTGATAAAATTACGAAAATATATAACGTATATTATAAAACATTTAATAGTTTCGTGTTTAATCGATAGAAAGCTCGTAGAAGTTTTGTTAAAGCTTCTTTTTCAAAACATTTTAATTTTTTAAAAACAAAATAAAATTTATTCGAGTGATTTTAGAAAAGCGCGCGAAAATTTCTAGCTAGTGCTCAGGGCTCCGTAGCTTGAAACTCGGCCCAGCTTATCTTTTATCACAGCTTTTATACTTTAAATTTTATATCGCGTTTTTTTGTCTTATAAATATAAAGCAGTCTTAAAATTTGCTTGAAACATACTATTTATTGCCCAAGGTGTTTAAATTATGAAATGGAAGAACATTTTTCATATTTGCTTCACATATACAGAAGCAAAAGTAGTTTAATGTATGAACACGAGCCCGAAGGCCGAGTGTTTTTACACCAGTTTTGTAGTTGATAAATATGAAACGTAACAAGTCCTAGCACAGATAACCGTACGAATTTTCCTATGAACAAATACAAGTTAAGAACAAAACAGAATAATGAAGTATTATTATTTATTTCCATAGTATATTTATTCCTTCAAGGCAACTTTACATTCAAAAGTATATCAAGTTTATTTCAAAAATTGGACCATTCTGACATGCTTCATCTTTTTACAAGCCCTTTACACATTTATCCCTGATGAGTAAATATTTGACGGTTCATTGATGGATGTCATTTAGCTTTTCCCTTTTCTTGGGCTGTAAAAACAAAACAGAAAAAAATACATGTAAGCTGCCAATACACCATACTTTGTTACAGTGTTAGACACTGGGGGGGGGGGCATTGGTGGTGGTGGTGGGGGGGAAGCAGTAATCTCACTGTGAACACTCCACTCATTACCTTTTTTCACCTCTTCTTTTTTCCTTGCAGCTTCCTCGCGTTGTTTTCGTATAATGGCGAGCCTTGCAAGGTCTCGTTGAGCTTGTTCTGTTTTTCCTTCCGCATGAAGTTTTTGGTAACGTTGTTGTGCCTGTTGTTTTTCTAGTTCCTCTCGCTCTCGTCTCGATAACGTCGCCTCAGTGTTCGTATCCAGGTCTGTAACTTTTTTTGTTGCTTTCTGGTTTCTGTTTGGATTGTTTATCTCTATCAACCCATCGACACCTTTCGGTTTCCGCACTTTCTGAAACAGGATTACATTGGAAGGTGAATGCATTATTTTTGTGGAAAATGAAAGTGTTAGTTTCAGCATCGAGGTGTACAGGAAGAAAAAAGTGGTTGGGGGGGGAGGGGAGAGAGGCTGAAAATTTGTTTGTCAATCAATATCTTAATCACCTGATGTTCGTTGATTAATATTTTAATTACATGATCCATATCATAATACATAATAAATAATTAACAAACCTCCTCTTCATCGGAACCACTTTCTTCATCAGAATCACCACTTTCCTCGCTTTCTTTTTTGTCTGAGTCATCGTCATCATCGACTTCTTTGTTTCCATGCCTTTGCTAAAAATAATGAATTTTAGGGTCTTGTAACTCGTCAACCTGTGTTGACCAAATGCAGATGTTTCTCTAATTCCTGAGGAGAACCAACGAGAGTAGGAATTACAAAGTGGATATGTTACCCTCCATTCTTTGTCTTTGCGTTCTTTTTCCTGTTCTGCCTCGACTTCCGCTTCTGTAATAAAATGTCTGTTTCGTCCTTTGTGGTTTATTTTTCCTCGGCCTATAAATGGTACAAACATGGTGAACAAGAAAGCCACAGAGACTGTTGTGATTGTTACACAGTTCTTCAACGCTATCTGATGAGATTAATTGAAGCATATGATCTCAGTAAATTAGCTGTTTTGAACTTTAATTCATAAATGGATTACCCCAGGACTAGTTAACCCATCAAGTGGCATCACTCTAACCCTTCACAAGTAAAATCATCTGGCATTAACAGAATAAAATAATAAAGTAGGGCACACATTGCCACTTAAAGGGTTAACTATCTACACATCGGCAGATAATCTAGTCAGCCCATTGAACGCCAGGACTCTCCCCTTGACAAGTAAAATCGTCTGCCATTAGACAGAATAAAATAAAGGATTTTGGACCAATCTCCGAATAAAATAGGGCACATCAGTGCACATTGCTACTTAAAGGGTTAATAAAAGAGAAGTTTCATAAAATAGTAGTTTGTATTTAATTTGGCAACTAGGTTTCAACTGATTACATACGTAAACATTTACGTAAAATACACAGACAAATATTAATACAATAAACATTAATATATTAAAGTCGAACATATCTAATATTGCATCAGCCAATCGTTTATATTCAAATGCCATATTTCTCAGAATCACCAATTGCGAACCAACAACGAGATCTCGTTGTCTTAAATAAGACAAACTAACCTACCTCGTTTCGACATTTTCGAGAAGGAATTTACCAAAAACCTAAATAATTTCAAACAATCTTCTATAAATACAATTTTTAAAATATTTGTAAACACGTTCCCTCCTCAAATGCGCGCGTATTTTCTGCGAACCACCGCTGCTCGTGAATGTTAGTCCAGATTTTTATAATTGGGATATATTTTATAATTTTATTCAAATGTTACAATTTAAATTACCCCTAACAACTAAATACATACCTTTTAACTTCTGAATATACAGTATATTTAAGGTTTAAACATTTCAGTACGTTTTCTAAGAGATGTGTAACTAAATCAATTCTATATAGATCAGGGTCTACTGATAATATTTTACTGTGCATGGTTGTGAGCAGCCCGCGTAACTAATATTTTTTTATTTTTCTAACGTATTATAGTAACAAAATATTGCTTAAGATGCTTTAGCTGTCAAAAATACTGATATTTTAAACGATAGGAGTCGTTTTACAGTAAATGAACAAATAGAAAAGTTTTCTTTGTATTGTACATGTTGGTTGTGCTGTCCAGTATACTTCTCAGATCAGTGCCAAACTGGGAGGAAATTGACTGGAGTGAGCAATCTCTTAAATTCTGGGCAACAAACATGGCGTCCAGAAAAACAGCGGAAAAAGTTTAAAAATCTTTAAAATATTAAATTCCTTTTTCTATTTTGCTCAAATAATAAACGCGAGCTCTTAGAATGACAACGAGGTGCAGTAGCATAATAATTTATATAAAAGTACTGTAAATATTTAATTTTTCCCCTTTAATTTTAAAATGTTACTTTTTTTAGACTTGACCGGCTTTTGTTGCTGTTGGACACTGGTTCGACTCCTGTTATTAGACGAACTGCCGCTCAACAACTAGGGGAAGTTCAGAAATTACATCCTCATGAACTTAACAATTTATTGAACAGGGTATATTAACTAATCAACATTGTAGATTAATTATCTTTGTTAATTATGTTTGTTGTTATAAATTAATCAGCTTATCCTGCCGTCATTTGCATCTAGGAATGAACAGTCGCAATAAAATCATTGTCTGTTCACACATTCAATAGTTGTCAAGACTATTTGAAGGTTTTAATGAGATCAGTCAAGGGGGCATCCATTTATGCAAACAAAACATTTCAAAAAATTGACATCCCCTCCCCTTGTATGCAAATTTCCTGACTCCCCCCTTAGTTACATATGTGCTAGATGGGTTGCTCCCAATCACATTTTAAAACTCCTTTGAAGTTTCAACAATGTTTTTATTTGTGACTGATGGTTCTTACTAGATGCAAACAATGATATTGTTGGACTGATGGCCCGTTGTTTTGTTGGTAAAATACACATTTTTTCCAGATTTGATAACTGCATACCATTTTTCATTGAATTATATAGGTTCATGTTCACTTAAAAAGCAGTAACTGGGACACAAGAATTGCTGCAGGGGAAGCCATAGAAGCCATTGCGTCAAATGTGCCAAAGTGGGAGCCTACTGGTCTTGTTGTCAAATGTATGGTTCTCAGTTCTATAATACAGTACTTATACCATTCAATGTGTAGTGTTGTGTATATAAATAATAAGAGATATAGTGTACGATACAACATAATATATCCTGATGAAACTTAAAATATACAACCCCTGATTGAAAGAGAGGTGCACTCCCTGATTAAGAGTCGTACATACTCCCCCTGGATTGAAACAAGATGCACCCCCTGCCTAAAAGATTGGTGCCCACCATCCTGATTAAAAAAACACCTCCTTGATGAAAGGAGAGATGTACAGTAAATCCCTTGCCTGAAAGAGAGGTTCAACATCCCTTATTAGAAGGAGGGTGCATGCCACATGATTAAAAAGTGAGATGCCACCCTTCCACCCTCTTCTTGAAAGAAGGTGTACACCCCCCTGATTAAAATACATATTCATCAACCGCACTGATTAAATTTCTGCAGCTGAGAAAGAGATGACGTCATCAGAAACATGTTCAGAGAAGAAGCAGAATGTTCTTATGTTTGATCAGTTTGACATCACTCATGTTTTAAAACATGGCGAGGCATTGCTGGGATCTTCAGGCCAAGAGTATGATGTCTTTGATGAGGAACTACTAGGTAAGGATATAGTCTATCACATATAGTCTATGAACAACCGTCCCCAGTAAAGTAAAGAGTTTGGGCAGTACTTTCCTTCTGATAGTAATTTTGATTTTGTTTTTTGTGTTTGATAAGGAAATTAGCCCCCCCCCCCACTTTGCACCCCTCTTTACCAAGAATAGGAGAGGCACCCCAGTGAATCCTAGGAGAGGTGCCCACACCCCAGTGAATCCATCCCTGTATGTTTTACTAGGTCTTGATGTTAAAGAGAGACTTGCACGTCAACAAGAGTTGTTGCGGAAGCGTCTTGGTATGATGCCAGGGCTCGAGACTGGCATGGACATCATGTTGGAGGATGAGGACATCTTACCTGCCCATGTTGTCGTCAAGAAAACTTTGGAGAAACAAAAATCTAAAGAAAGTCAGGTCTGCATGAAAATATGTTGAATGTTCTCAAAATGTACCTATTTTTCTAAATATTCTCTATCAGTTCTAAACTGTTCTCCCTAGAGGTCCAATAAAAGTAATTTCTTATTGATCCAGTGTTACTTAAAAAACTATGGTTTTTGATCTTGAATTGAACACACTCTTCTCAAATGAGGTGAAATTATGAGATAATTATAAACCTTGGTCACAGACATGAAAGGTACTAAGCACTGACCATTGCGCTCATGCGAGGCATTCACCCCCTGATAATATTCAAAATTGGCGGACGTCCAGGGGGGACGTCTAGGACATGACGTCAACATTTTGATGACGAATCATGGCGTGGCAGTGGTTACGCTTTTGCTTTGGCTGAGTCGACCTTCTGTGTGTCTTTATTCTGTGCTGCCACTCTTACGTACCATTCTGCATTGCAGTCGACGGCAGATCTTGTTGCGGCAGAAATCGCGGCTATCAGTTCCTCCGCAGATCTGAGCTCCAGAGAAAAGAACAGAGCAAAACGAAGAGCAAAGATTTTGGCTAAACAAAGATCAAAAGATAATAATTCTCCTGTTCCGGGGAACTCATCTAAGTAAGTCACATTGTATAATAAAACTATTTTTAAAACGGTTAGTTTGAAATACAACGTTCAATCTATGACTGGATCTAAGAGCCATATTAACAGTTTCATTACGTGGTGGAAGAAGATTATAAAGCTTATGGCTATCATCCGCCACTATTTCTTCAAATAGTTTGTCTGAAAGACCGTCTGTTCGTTGGCTGAGTCGTTGGAGGGCCAGTTGATTGTAAAGCGTAGATCATCCACTAAATCATCAGCAGATCATCCACTAAATCATCAGCAGATCATCCACTAAATCATCAAGAGATCATCCACTAAATCATCAGCAGATCATCCACTAAATCATCAAGAGATCATCCACTAAATCATCAAGAGATCATCCACTAAATCATCAGCTAAATCATCAGCAGATCATCCACTAAATCATCAACAGATCATTCACTAAAAAGAACTATCTTTTCTTTCCATAAATTCGTTTAGACAGGGCATCCATTTCTAGTTCCAATGAGGCCTGAATTACTCAAATTTGCATGATTTCACATTGCATTTAAAAATGCTGGAACTACGACCAGAATTGAACATAATGATTTTTGAGACGTTCTCTGGTTGGAAATATTTATTTATCGGGAGCTTACGGCTGCTAGACTGCAGCTTTCAACGGGTAGTTATGCTGCAGTATGGTAGGCGAAAGCTCGTGATAAGGATTTCCAACCAGAGAACGTCTCAAAAATGATTATTTCACGTTGCGTTCACACAGACGCACTAAATGTCGCGTGAAACCAGACAACGTAACGAATTTCCGCACGGACAAATAGAACCGGAATAATTTGCGCACGCGGTTCTGAATTGGTGTGGTTTCGTGTGAACGTTAGTAGTTCAATGTGTTCTTGCATTCCTAGTAGTTCAATGTGTTCTTGCATTCCAACAGGGATGAAAAGGACGGACCTCCGGAGAAGAAGATGAAACATACGTCACAAGTTGTTGTTGATCAGCCTGAAGATCCTGATAAGATTGTTATTGATTCTGTCAGAGACACAACTTCGTGGATTGAAGAGGTATGAGAGAAAGCGACATTCTCAGTAGCGTAGCCAGCCCGACGATTTAGTCCCGCTATGCAAATATTTTCGTATTCATTGACAGTGAAAACAATTAATTTCGAAAGAAATGAATAATGATAATAATTTTGAATTTGCATAGCATGACTAAGTTGTCGGGCTGGCTACGCCACTGGACATTCTTCCTATTTTCTTTTCTCGATTATTGGTAAGTTTCTCTATTAAGCGTTACATGACATACAGGACGGCAGATGGTGGTAAAATGAGACATTTTAGGCAGGGGCGTTGGAACCGGCGGGGGGCACAGGAGGCATGTACAAGGTAATATTGCTGTAAATACTATGTTAACATCGAAGGTGCCCTTTTTGTTTCCTGAACACATTTACGTATGCTCTTTTACATAAGTTAGTTATGTTGTAAATACTATTCTGCATCATGTAAGTAAATCCAGTGAAAGAAATTTATAGGAAATTTAGATGTTTCTAAACAAAATTCGTCAAAAACGTTCATTGTACGTTGCAATTCCAAATTTGGGAAAATGCAAAAAAAATTTCTTTCTCTCTGCCCCCCCCCCTTCCTCCCCCTGGAAGCCAGTGCCCCCCTCTTCTGATGGTTCCTACGCCCCTGCTTATAGGAACAAGAAAATGAAATTACATGTCTCTTTTTAGGAAGTGGAGTGGCCGTTCACGACATTTTGTCAGGAACTGTGTCATGAACTTTTCCATCCTTCATGGGAGGTAAGATTATAACACTTCATTCGCAAGACTGTTCGTGTAAGCAATTGTCCTGGTGCATTGGTTAGATTTGGTAGAAAAGTTAATTGCTCTCGCTATATCTTTTTATAACGTAGGTCCGTCATGGAGCAGCTACTGGTTTAAGACACATTGTAAGAATCAACGGTACTGGAGCTGGCAAGAGAACAGATATGCCTAGTGATGAGGTGAATATGGGAGAGAATCAGTAACTGAAACTATTAGTTACCTCGGACAAAAAGCAGTTAATCCGCGTTCGAGCGTGGTCAGATCACGCAGCAATATGTTGATATTATTACTTTTAACTCCAGATGTCCACAGCAAATGAGTTATGGCTGGAGGATATGTCTTTGAAATTGTTGTGTGTGTTTGCGTTGGATCGTTTTGGAGATTTTGTCACAGATGAGGTGGGAACTTTATTTATACTGAGTAGCTGTTATCAGTTCTAAGCTGTTCTTGCCACGTAACCAGTTAAGGTTATCCTTATGGCTTTAGTGTTGCCACAAAAGATAACTGGCAAAACCTTGTATTTTAATGATGCATGCTGCCACGAACATGATGCTGGAAGCACTATTTAAAACACATGCAGGAGTGCTTTATCAGATATAAAACACGACAGCGCAGCTTATATCTGATAAAGCACAAACTGCGAGCGTTTTAAATGGCTTAAAAAACGACCCATCTAAAGAGTCCATTGGCGAAGTAATTTTAAAAATAAGCGTTTTAAAAATAAACATTTTAGAAAATCAAAGCTAAAGTTTATGTAAATGAACATGATTTTTATCACAAATAAAACCCCAACACGGTAGTGATTTCCTTTATCTTTTCTTCATGAATTATTAATGAGTTTTTTAATATTTGTTATGTCCCCCAGGTAGTTGCTCCCGTACGAGAAACTTGTGCCCAAACTCTCGGTGTGGTTGTGAAACACATGAAACCAGTCGCAGTGAAAAGCATCTTAAACATTCTGCTCACATTACAAGCACAAAGTGAATGGCAAGTTAGGCATGGTGGCTTGTTGGGAATCAAGTATTTATTGGCCGTGAGAAAAGATATGACTGATCAGTTACTTCCGGTTGTGTTGTCTCCGTTAATTAGAGGGTTAGAAGATTGTGATGATGACGTCAGAGCTGTATCTGCTACGGCCATGTTGCCTGTTGTTGATCAGATGCTTCATATGAGTGATCAGGTAATGGGCGGGTTACGATTAGGTCAAGACCGGATTTGAGTGGAAATGGTGGGGGAGGTGGAAAAAAATTAGGGGAGGTGCTGTGGTCTAGCTTATGACCCCCATTTAGGGCTTAGAACGTGCCCCCTAAAAATATATATGCATGCGCTGTACATATGTATCAGACTGAGTGTACTTATGTACGACTCGTCCA